GCGCATTCAGTGAAGTTCATTTCAATTCTTTACGTCGTTAGACGCACTCATGAACGCGACAAATTGAACGCATCAACAATGTTCCGTAATGAAAGAAACATTTTTTAATTATAAAATTAATGTTTATCACGTGCTAGGCTCTCACAAAAATCAATTTTGCACATTCGTGACATTTTTATTTCTTTTGTCTACTTTATTAACAAATATAAAAAAGATTCAATAATACATTGAACGATCTGTGTCACAACTTTTGACACTTGTCTCGTAGCGCTAGAAGTGAGCTGTCAGACGCTTAGATGCAGGACCTTCGGAAATACGTTCGCAGTATGAAGCTTAAGTACGTAATACTCAGCATACTTAACCTTAAGTACGTACTTAAGCTTGATAGATAAGTACGTTAAGTATGTTAAGTATGTTAAGACGTACTTAAGGATGACAATCTTTATACTTAAGCTTAGGTACGTACTTAAGATTTGTACTTGCTAACAGAACCGAATTTATGAAATTGCAGTGAATTCACCAAAATGTTTTAGAATTGACTGGAATGTAGTAATTTGGTTCACATTAAATTTGACAATTCCAGACAATTTCATAAATTTTTATACCATTTCAATGGGAAAGAAGAAATATCTTAAATTCATGCACATTCGTTTCAATTTTTTGCGTGAGAAATGCCCCTAGTGGGAAGATAATTCAAAAAGAATGGATTTAATTGTGTTTTGTGACAAGATTCCGATTCGGACTCGGATCGTAGAATTCCAGCACAGTTCTTTCCAGAGCTTCCATAATTACTTATAAAGAACTCATAAATAGCTTAACGTTTTTCACTACGTTTCACATTAAGCAAAAATCATTGAGCATATATAAATTCTTATCATTCCGTTCAAAAACCAATCTGTATTAGTGGAAATGTATTTGTTTTCAATCCATAATGATAATAAAAGGCTGCTTCCAGAAATGTTACACATCACGTACGTACGACGATCGAACAACCAAATAAAATGATTGATTTTTTTCAATACTTCATAACTTCTTGTGGTGGCTCTGGAAAGATCCGATTTTTCTATGAATTCACAATCAAAAGCAACGATTTTTACGACCTGGTGACGGCATTGGTGAAATGTTCTTTTGGGCCTTGTCGCATTTCTTTGCTGATTTTTGGTGCCATTGCTAATGTTAATCGTTCGACTGACGAACACGAACTAAATGCTTGCACAAGTGCTGTGCGCTCTTATATAGCATTTCAGTGAGTGGATGACGTAAGCGATTCGATATTGTAATCCCCACCCATTTCGCCGAGTGTGCTATACTGCAAAACGTATATAAAGCAGACGTGTACCGCTGTGCGAGCATCATTCTGTTTTTGAGTGTCAAATGAGTAACAATTGTTAAGCCACAAGGAAAAAATATCTGGATGCGCATCGAACACTGAATGCGCGCAAAAAATGTCCCTTTTAGTATCACATTTCGACGACATTTCGAACGATTTGGTTTTTCATTTTTCCAAATAGTTTTCAATCAAAACAAAACATTAGTTTTAATTGTAATAAAAAGAAATACATTGGTAATCCCGAACTTTTCCGTACCGTTGGTCTGCGTTGTCCGTAGGTACTTTTGGTTGTTTTTTGTGAATTTTCTTGAAATAAAGGCAGCGAAAATATAATAATAAAAATAAAGTGAAAAATCGGTCACTTTAACTAAAACTTCGACAATTTTGTATGAGAGGTACCCGGAAACCGATTTTTATTGGCTTTAAACTTTCTGAGGTTTCATTTTTTGGAGAAAAAATAAGATTCCGAAAGTTTCATGTTGATCACATTTGCAGAAGTTTGATTTTTGGCCCTCAATTTTTTCCAAGGAAATTTCGACAAAACACTTTCTTTTACATAAGCGCTGGCGAACGTGAAAAATGGATAAAAATCAGAATTAAATGCAATCCAATAATCATGTTCCGAACATCGAAAAGTCATAAAACTTCGGAAATCTTATTTTTTCATCTAAATCCGATACCATACCAAATTTGGAGCCAATCTGATGGAAAATTGGGGTACCTCCCATACAAAAGTATCTTATTACATTTTTGAAATAGCAAAATTTGTATGGGAGGTACCTTTATTTCTTTATTGATTGGCTTCAAACTTTGTAGGTTTTGAATTTTTGCTCAAAAAGTGAGTCTTGTAAAATATGAAGTCAATCGGTGGAGGAATAAAGGTACCTCCCATACAAATTTTGCTATTTCAGAAATGAAATTAGATACTTTTGTATGGGAGGTCCCCCAATTTTCCGTCAGATTGGCTCCAAATTTAGTTTGGTATCGGATTTAGATGAAAAAATAAGATTCCCGAAGTTTTATGACTTTTCGATGTTCGGAACATGATTATTGGATTGCATTTAATTCTGATTTTTATTCATTTTTCACGTTCGCCAGCGCTTATGTACAGCTGTTACTTATTTGTTGGTGGTCATACGATAGATTTGACTGTGGCCAAATTTATCTAAATTCAATGCTCTTTACGATAAAACTTTGAAACTGGCAAAAATTACTCCCAATTTGATGTATATTTAATCCGGTAGTTGGTGAAATCGACCAGTTCATGAGAAAACGAAACACACGAACGAAGCTGCGCGCAATTGTGAGTTACACTCTTTCGTTCAAACCATATTGACACATGCACACAGCCATCGTTCGACTCCGTTCGCGTGTACGCTATACGCGGCTGTATGTATGCGTCAATATGGTTCGCGTGTTTCGTTTTCTCGGTTTATCTCTTCCCATTCGTTCGTCGCATCAGCGTAGCTGCTACTTGCAAACAGCAAAAGATACGTGCTACTCGCAGTAGCTCCGCGATATTACGAAATATATTTTGAGAGCAAATGAGACCTCTGGTTGAAATTCGTTTCTTAGTGTAATTATACGTGTTTGGTGTGTTTTATCACTCTTCAAATGCCCTGTTAGCGGCTTTTTTCCACTGAATTCAAATTTACCTACCGAATCAAAACATTGGTGGTAATTCAACATTTTACCTCCAATGAAAAAATTACTTCGGCAATTTGTTATTTTGCCTACTACTTCTGACGGTTTGCCTATTTCGAATTGTGAGAATAGGTAATTGCAATTGATTTCGATCCCGCCTGACCGATTTGTGATATTTGATCTGGTTTCATAGTCACACCACGAATTGAGGTATTTATCATTCCAATAGCCCCAACCAATTCCGAGAACGGCACATTGATAAATACCCAGGCTTCCGAAACCACCTTACTCAAAAATTGTATACATTTTAAGAAAAGGTTTTTTTTCTACATTTTTCGAATTTTTGATACCAAACTTATTTTTTTGAGGCCAACTTTCGAAAACCGATCTGCGGTTTTGGAAATCTAAAAAAAAATTGGCCAAGTTTCTTGTGTCATGTGTGAATAACCGTTCACCCGCCCGCTCACCTGTTCAATTATCATCCATGAAGTGACAAATGCAGTACCTTAACGGGCGAACGGGGATCGTCTGCCCGCTCGCGCAACCGCATACCATCCGTTTGTGCTAATCTGAACGGTTGGACAAACGGGTGCGGTGTTTAATGGCCGTTTACCCGCCCGCCCGCTCAACCGCTGACCATCTGTTAGATAACCGCTTGCGTCAATTTGGACGGGCGGACAGCAAACGGGTGCGGTACATGAACCGGTGTGCCGCCCGCTCGCTGGGGGAGTAATGACCATGAGCCAAATCAAGACGGGCGGGCGGCAAACGGCAGCGGTGCCAAATATATCATCTGCCGTTTACTTGACTGTTTACCCGCCCACTCGCCCGCTGTTGTCCGTTGTGTGACCGCTTCAAAAAATCAGAACGGGCGGACGGCAAACGGGTGCGGTATATGCGCGAGCGGGTTACCCGCTCGCCCTCTCGTTTGCCCGCTCGCCCGGGGAGAAATGTCCATGAGCCGATTTTTTTGCGTGAGCGAACATTTCTCGTCTCCACTTTGAACATAATCAACGTAACTTTTTTCTCTCTTCATTCTGCATCGAAAAAGATTAATTTGGAATAAAAAAAACTCCTAGATTAAAAACTAAAGTGAAAAGTGCATTCGGGTATTACTGTACAGTGTACACGTTTTCGATTGCAATCAAGTCGGCTGCGAGTCGTCGCTTTGAAGTTTCAATTGAAAAGTGCAGTCAAAATCATCTGATTGTTGCCATTAAAAATATTAAATTTTCAATGGATTTTCGATTCGTTTGCGATTCGTCACGTTTGCTCTCGATAGTTTTTCTTGGCTGCTCGTCCCCGTTTGTGGCTAGTTTTTGGCTTTGACTTTGATTTTGATTCAATATGCTTTTTTTTTGTTTGTCTTTGGTACTTTGTGCTGTCATCCACGGTGGCTGCAGCCACTTGCTTATGCTGTATTGAGCGTGTGCGATGTGACATGAATTTTACTGCACTTACATGACACTGGAATCTCTGGTTCTTCAATGACCGCAAACAGTAATGCACTGCACTGAAGCGACAACCGATATCCGAAAAAGATAGTCTACATTTATGTGGGTGTCTCTGTCTCAATGTGTGTGTGTGTGTGTGTTTTGTTCCATATCCACATCCATATCCATTTCATGCACAAGCACATATATACTTTATTACTGCTGTGTCTCGACCGTTTTTCCTGAGGTTGTGTGTTTCTTATGGGTATTTTTTCCCTTTTTTTCGGAAAATGGCTTTGCAACACATGAATTAATCGTTATGCCACGACGGATGATGCAATCGTCACGAACGCGATATTACTTACTCAAACGAAAACAAACCGACCAAAAAAAAACGCACAACGACTGAAAAGGCATCCGAATGTGGTTTGTTTAATACATCGTATCACTGGATGATATTGGAGCAACCTTCGACGATACCACCGCCGTCGCTGCCGCTACAGCCTTCATCATCAGCGAAATTGTTCTCCTTCGGGGTTGAGTTTTTCGAACGTTTAAATATTAATATGAACTCTGAAATAACATTGGTTAAGCCGCAACAGTCAAACAGTGGAACAAATTCAACGCCAGAATGGAACATTTATGATTTATACGACGTGTGGTGAGATGAAGATTTATTTGTTTAAATATTTTGTTTTATGACTGTTCTGTCTCGCTCACAACCATCGTTTTCCATCTCCATTTCCATTTCGCTAAACATTTTTCTCGTTCTTTCTCTCTCTCTCGCTTCTTTCGTTCGTCGTCACCGTTCGTTCCTCCATTTTCACAATCACCGGGAACCATTTCTGCGCTGAAACAAACCGAATAGCAAAAATTATCAGGCAAATTCTTTTTTCATCCATCTAATACCTTGTTGCCATTTGTTCACTTGAAATCGCTCTTTTTCGTTTTACCATTTTTTTTATCGTTCCATCCAATGCCATATTCGATGATGATAGTTTGCAAAAATTCCTTGAATGTAACATTGCGTTTGTTTTTCTGCACTGATACTCTCCAATTCTAAAAGCTTTGCTCTTTCTACCTCTCGCTCTGTCTCTCCTACGCGAATTTGGCGCCACCCGCTCCTTTGCTCTCACTCGGCGATATTGTGTATGTTTTGTGCAATAAAATGCATCAAATCGTGAGTAACCTAAGAATTTTTCCACTTAATGGCCGAAATTTAATCACCGACACAAAATTAGTTCATCGCATGCAACATTTTAGTGGTACATTCTGGTGACAAAATTTTTCACTTTATGGACGTCAAAATTTACTTTATGAATTTTTATGGACGGATTTCAACGGAATAACACGAGCACTGTGCATGGCTCTTGGTTTGTTGGTCGGTTGGTTTCACCAACTCCCAAGCAATGGCTTCATTTTTGAATGGGCATTATTTTCTGTTCATAATAACTGCTGCACACAGCGAAATTAAATCCACACTCAAAACATTTCAAGTTTTTGCAACTTTCGGGATAAATGTTTGAAAACAATTCCAAACACGTGAACACACACGCACACACACACACACCGAAATGTCGGTTCTAAAATATTTTGATCAATATTTTAGCAATGTTGCTGTCCTCTAGAGATGTGACTATTTTTGCATTTGGATTGATGCAAGTATTCGTTTAAACAAAACCATTTTATCGTCCATATTTTGGTGAATCCAGAAAAATAAACATTTTCATAGTAATTTACTAATTAATTCTGCAACAATTCGGCAATGCATTTCTCCAGAAAAGAGGTTTTTTTGTTTCTAGCTCATTCAACCCAATTTATATATCTGATTGTGATGACAATTTCACAAAACAGTTCAGTTATAAAATCAAAAGCCCTGATTAAAACCGACATTATTTCTTGGATTATTGCTTGAAAAGTGGTTTATACACAGACACACACACACACGCTTCGCCGGTGGCAGATGAAAAAAATATGTAAAATTCATATATGAGACGTCCGGTGGAATTTAGGTTCTGTGGTAAACGCTTAAGTGATGCAGATTTAACGGATACATTATACATCAGCCATAAAACTTTATAAAATATTTGCATTTTCCGTCGTGAGTAAGTGTATGTGTGTGTGTGTGTGTGTGTGTGTGTGTGTGTGTGTGTGTGTGAATGTGTTGTTTCCTCTTTCATGTTCAAATGCAAAGTTTCACTTCGGAATGGGCCACAGAAAAACTTGGTGGAAAAAAAAGAAGAAGACGACGACAACGACGACGGAAAACCTTTAACCTTCAATAAATTTGTGGAAATGCCTATTTTGGGAGTAAAAATGACACTTTATGTGCACGCCGAGCCATTGCGGAAGGATTCCTGATTTTAAATTATCCTCCAGTTTTCAATTCAGTTTGATGTTTCATTTTTCTTCATTCGTACGTTTTGAATTCTGGTCTTGAAATGCGATGCGGTTTGGAATTACCTTAACCTCTTGCATGTTGATGCCTTTAAGCGGCAGCTACTCAATGCTATTCCTACCATTTGGCACGCCCGGCCCCATGAATACGCACATAAAACCGAATATGGACCGTGAAACACTTGGCATTGCTCAAACTTGCCACCGCCGCTTTTTTTCTTCTTCTTTTTGGTAAATTGATTTTACCTTTTTTATAAATTATTGCAAAACGCGCATAAAAATACTAACAATATATTTTATGATATCTCCATTGTTTCTCAAGACTTTTTTTTCCAGCTGGTGATGTTGTTACCGTGTTTGAACGCATTTGGTTCTTTTTGGCGCAGTATTGAATATGTTTGATGCTCAGATTTTGCATAAATATGTTTTTTTCTCTCGATAAAAGTTTCCATTTCCACAATCACCGTAAATCATTTGATACAACTCTCAAACGCCATTGCGCTCTAGCAGTAGCTTTCAGCACATTTTGTACAGATGATGAAGAATTATTGGAATTTAAGTCATTTATTACCAGTAAAACAATGACAGAATTCGGATTTGATTTTGGGAGAGATCCGTTCTAGTTTAGTTCTGCAGTAACAAGTGATTTGGCAGTAAAATGCTGTTTTGGACAAATTTCGTCAACATTACTACTACAATAGAAATGTATTCTGTTTTTTTTTGTTCGTTGCAAAATATTCATTTGAATCGAACATGAATTTCAATCAAGATGAATTTTCGCAAAAGCCCTGAAGAATGTGTGCGTTTGATTCATGCGACAAATTAAATGCTACATTTCAATTGTATACACAAATTATGGAATGGAGCATATCAGATATTTTAAGCCATATCTGGTAACAATGGTCCATTTTGACAAAAGCACATCTGGCAAATGGAAAACCCCAAAATCTCCCATTCAAATACACTTACACTTACACACGATCTCATGCAAACACACACACTCTTTCTGAACATACTTGATAAATGAGTGCATTGTAATTGTAAAGTAGTTTCCTCATTAGTTTAACAAAGAACAAAGCAATGGGATTAACGTTTTCCAAATCGCTGGCAGCATTTTGCCGTCGAAAGACAAACTAACTGCTTGTTTAGTTGTTTCTAATGAGTATGAAAAGCGAAAAATCACAACTTTTGCCGTAGAAAGCAGTAAAATGTGAAATGGCTGGTGTTGGAATATGCGTTCCATTCTTCAACAATTAATTGTTCCGTGAACATTCTCTGTCTGTCTCTCTTGCTCGCTCTGTCGTTTTCTCTGTTTATTTGTTCAATTTAATTGTTCTTTTTTTTTCTCAGTCTCTTTATCTCTTTCTTCCTTTCTCTCTCTCTCCCTCTCTCTCTCCCTCCCTCTCTCCCTCCCTCTCTCTCTCTCTCTCTTTCTATCTTTTTTTCCACAAATACGCACACAAAATGCACACCAAAACACACGCATCGTTAGGAATCCGGGAAAACTTTACGGTGGCATACTGAATGTGAGCCATATGGGTACCTATTCAGCCGATGAACAGTTTTTAAATATTTCCTTCAAAGAAACGACCATTATACGACGGTTGAATGTTCATGGCATTAAAGTACGTGCCATGGTTGTGGTGAGTGTTTTAACAAAAACCAAATGTTCCAGATCGCATTTACTGTGCATTCCATCACATGGCACAGCAGCAGCAACAACAACAACAACTCAGAGAAGTTGCACACAAAAAAAATGAAGAAACGTTACGAAATCACAGTTTGCCATTAGGGATAATTTTGTATTTCACAGCAGTTTTATTATAGTTGTGTGTGAGTGATTTTTTTTCTTCTCGATCTTTCTTTTCATTTTGCAGGTAACGAATCCATTCAATGAATCATTCGAACAGTACTTAGATCATACGTATAATCCGCATCTAGATTCGATGAATCGTTTCAACTATCGGTTACTCTCATATGTACGTGAAATGTTCAATTTTAGGTAAGAAATAATTAAAAATCATTTGATTTTCTCGCAACAACAGCAACAACAACTGAAAAAAAAACACCATCTGCCCTTTCTGATCAATTCCATTAACTGCAGATGTGAGAAAGTGAGCAAAAGCTCGAGTAAGTTATTTATCGTGTGGCAACACCTTCTGCACTGATATTGAGCTTCATTTGGATGTGATGCACGACTATTGTTAGCATCACCACCATGGCTCAGTCCCTTCATTTTGCCTTGTTTTTAGTTCAAATATTTCATTTTTTTTTATTGGTAATCTCTTGTGTAATGCACTATGTCATTTGGACAATGTACAGCTGCATTAAGGGCTGGCTGGCTGATTTTGCCCCGCTTTTACCGAAAATCGAACTGTATTTATAGTGTGCCAGAGCAAAGCAAACAAAAAATATCTATTTTTGGCAACACAAAGAGGAATACACTTAAAAACATTTAGCCTGTGTTTAAAAATATCTCCGGCGAGATCGAAAGCACTGAATTGAAAATACTCCGATTTTTCACCAGGAAAATGTATACGAAAAAATGTAAAAACTATTTGTAACCGAAAATTCGTGTAAAATCCAATTATTGTCATTTTTGCGGAATGTAAACAAAGGCATTAACCCCTATGAAAAATAAGAATGATTTTAATTGAAAGAAATCGGAATTTCATTTGCGGCTTAACAGCATAATACATAAAAAGCTTATATAGTATATTTCCATCAAAGTTCAGTGAACGAGATAGATTCGGAGGCGATAGAGACGAAGAGTAATTGAAAATTGGCAAAATAGAAGCGGAAATAGGAACGGTTAAAAAGCTTTTGCTGGGATTCCATTGTTTGATTTTCATATTCTTGTTTTATGCTTTTTATATCGAGATTCGTTCCAATCAACTTTCGACATATTCGTCGAGTTTTCTCGCTCGCTCTCGCTCGCTCGCTCTCACGTTCAAGTTTACTTTGCCGCATTGAATGGAGCCGTCGTGAGGTGTGTGAGCGGGCACGCGCGTCATCCGCTCATTCGTTCACCGACGAACGTGATTTGTTGAAAATTTCTGGCGTACCGTGTAGACCACCTTATTTAGTATGTAACGATTTATTTTCCTCAAAACTGCACATCTTATTTCGCCTTTTGTCCATCTCGTTTGCTCGTTGCCACAAGCCTTTTTCAGGTGGGATTTTTTTTGCATGCTTTGCACTCTTTTTGTTCCCATTTCGTTGCTGTGCTGCTGGTGCTTCAAATCTATTCGATTCGACGTCGAATATTACTGGGGATTTTTTTTTTTGATTTGCTCTCTACTTCTGGTTAATCTCCACAGTCATTCTTGGTTTTTCGACGAATTTTTCCCTATGTGGTTGTTGTTTTTTTTCTGCTTCTCCCTTTCACTTTTTGCTTCTCATACATTTTGTTTTAACAAATCTCTTCGTTTGCTCGTTCTTTCGTTCACCGCATCCAGATGGGTTGTATATCGCACAAATTCATGGGGCTATTTAAAAAATGGAACCTTCGACGGGATGATCGGTAGCTTGGTTCGCAAAGAAATTGATGTCGGAGGTAGCCCGATATTTTTCCGATCAGAACGTGCTAAGGTTATCGATTACACGGCACGAACGTGGATATCAAGGTAAAAGAAAAATAAACAGCATAAATACACATACACCTCACGCCAAATCACACCGCTTTTCGCTCACTCGCTCTTCACTCTCGTTGCGTTCATATTTGTATTCCGGATTTTGTGCGGCATGCTCTTCAATTTTACTTCAACGTTGGACCGCTTCATGTGCACACACACACGCACGCACGTACAACGGCAGAAGTGCTTCTGCATCGTTTCGTCTTTGTTTAAAAGAACGAACGAACGAAAAAAAAATCAAAATTAATTAAAAATGCAGAGATTCTTTTTAATGACTTAACCAAGATTTGTTTACACATTTTATGAGCGCTTCATCAGCTTGTTCTCCTTGTCGCTTTCTCGCATGCCGTCAACCATATGTTTATTAGATTTGTTTTGCGTTCCCAATTTTCTTGCAATTATAATGTCGAAAGTTTTTCCGATACACACTCAAACACACACACACACCTATACACATGTATCCACCATTTAGGCCGTGCTTCGTGTTTCGACATCCAACAGGTTTAGTTGGTAATGTATTTTTGCAGCCATTCAACATTCACGTTTGGTATTGCGTAATAGTCGTCGGTGTTTTTATAATTGGCACTACATCATTCATCTCGAAGCGAGAAGGGAGGAATTCAGGTAAAATTCAATTTGTCAATTTATACATACATCAAATAGAGCAGCCGTGTTCAACGGTATTCCTAATTTTTTATTTACTCACACTCATTCTTTCTCTTTCGCCTCTCTCCGTCTTTGGTGATTTTATTTTCATGTATCGCATTACATTTGATCTATTATTATTTTTTATGTCGGTACCACACGGAAAAATTGCGGCATAAAAGATGTATCCAGTGGCAGCCATTCATTGACAAATCGTTTAGAGGCAAGAATGAAGAACGTGCAATCGTTGTCGAATCGATCAAAGAAATGGAAGCGAAACCAAAATGATGACGATGTTGATGGTGATGATGATGAAGATGATGCGATTGCAATGCAAAGTCAACAGCAGACATGCCGACGACATCAAATAAGTGACAGCATGTTAAATACAGTCCAGTTGAAACAGCATGGAGCATCGATGACCAAACGAGAAAAACATCCACCACGATTATGTTTCAACCAACAAAAACAGACGCAAATAATTCCAGAAGAAAATGTCATTATTGGGATTTGTACAAAAGTTTTCCGCTTTTTTTCAACACGATGGTTGCCGGTGTCAGTGGTAAGCGCTTACTGAAAACGAAGAACACACTGTCAAGTAATAGCAACAAAAACAAAACGACGACTAAAAAGAAAAAAAGAAGAAAGAGAAAAAAAACGCAAAACAGAACAAAACAAAGGCACACAAGGCAACAAAGAGACACATACAGACAAACAGAAAGAGAAAAAGCGAGTGCAAAACGAAAAGAAGAAAGAAAAAACACAATATATATAATACAAATACTTGCTAAAATTCGAGTGAGATTGTTAGTCGACAGCGACGGCGGTGATGGTGACGGCGGCGGCAGCAGCAGCAGCAGTGAATATATTGTACAAAGTAGAAACATTGAAAAACATTGCCTCAGAGCATACAGCTCTCGACTGTGCGGCTCGACTTTATGAACAGCAATTCGCAGACAGTTTTCAACACTCGGAGTTCGCTTCATATTTTCTTCCATACTGCATTCGTACAGTGTCGCGCGCGCGTTCTCAACTGCGAGGCACAGCGACACATATTACAAAAGCAAATAAATCAAAACTTTCTGATCGAAATGAAAATATTTTCTTTAGCCTCATCGAGTATAAGTGAGTAAGAGGGAGAGAGAGAGAGAGGGTTGTTGCTGTTGTAACTTTTTGTCGCAATTTTCTTCATTTCGCTCGATGTGAAACACTGTGCACGTGCCTCGAATGTAGTTGTCGTCCGACAATTTTCTCACTTTTCCCCATTTTTTCCTTCGGGAAATTCGATGTGTGTCGTGCCTTTGCTACAGATAAATATTTTTCCACATCTTCTTAAGTTTCGGGAGCAACAATTGGAAACAAAAAACGAAAAACTGGTTACAGAAAACGGCAGAAAATCATTTAGGTTCGTTGAAGAAAAAAAAAATATTTCGAAATTTTGGTCAGTTCAAATATGAGCTGATCCCTTTAAAAGAGATCCCTTAATTATGAAAATATAATGATTACTTAAGCCGCATTAAGCTCTACTATCAAACACATACACACACATTTTTTTGCATACATTTCTTTCGCAGCGCAATGTGTCTTGCTTTGGCTTTGTATTTGTTACTGTTGCTATTTTGTTGGAAAATTTCATTAGAATGAAGACTACACGGAAGAGAGTTGTATTGCTCCCCCTCTGTGCCTTTTCCCAAGCATGATGAAACGAAAGTATCAAAGAAATGCAAGCAAAAATGACTGACAAAAAGTAGAAGAAAAAAAATTGAAAGAAACAGAAAGCGAAAAAGAATAAAAAAAACGACAGGAGAAGAAGAGAGCGTATATATATTTTTATTATCTCCCATTTTCTATGCCTTTTATGTGCTTTCATTGCAATCTTCATGATTATTCCAGGATCAGCGTACGTTGAAGAAGGTGCAGACGATGAATAAAAGCAGCTCACATAAAAAAATCAATCACGAAAATTTCCGTTCAAATGTTTATGAATTTTATTCGGGAGGAAGAAATGATTCGAATGCATTTGCGACGATTGCTGGTGATGGTGCCGGTGCCGCTGCCACTGTCGATCGAGGTCACAGCATCGCTATGAGAAATGAAGTTGGCAATGTCAATAGCAAACCAACAAAAGCATTCGATAACGTAAACAGAAAATATGACGAAAGCGCCGCACTTTCGCGCTGTGCATTGCTTTTCATAGGTGCACTGTGTCAACAAGGTAAACGTCACAATTTTCAAACTTCCTTCAGGTAATCTTTTTAGCTTCATTTTGCTGCTGCTGCTGCTGTTGTTGTTGCTTTTGCTTTTTTTGCTCTCGCTTTTGCCACACTTGTTGTAGCACAGGTGATAGGTGCGAATTGCACAAATCTTCGGCACAATCCCAGACACAAGTCAAACATTTTCCGGCAAACCGCGTTATGCATACCGTTCACATTAATCGGTCGCTGCAACATTTTGCAAATTTCTTTCGGCAAAACTGTGCAGCAGTGGGTGTCTGTGTGTGTGTGTGAAATTCAGACTTTGAATGTATGAAGATTTCTAGCTGCCAACACGGACAATATTATCCATTGCGAATCATTTTCACGCCATTACATTTCTATCGAATGTGTCTCATACCCTATCACACTCTTGTCATACATTCACTGTGTTTATACTTTTTTTTTCAGCGCTTCGTATTTGTCTTGTTGTTGCTTCTTTTCTATATTTTTTTCTACGATTTTTCCGTTTTTTTGTCGTCTTCGAATGGGTTTCTGTGCCATTCAATGCATTGTGTTCGGCATGCTTCACTTTTTTGCACGTGAATTTAAATTTATCAAACGAATGTGAAATAAATATTAATAATAGTCGATATTGGCAATCTTAGAATCCATTCAATATGCGCATAATATTTTTCCATTATTGAAAAATGAGCTACACACACACACACACACACACACACCGACAGCAAAAAGGAAAAGAAAGTCACAATAAAATATAAATGGGAACGACAACAAGATTTGTATCCATCTTGTATTTTGTGCATTTTTGGATGGTGTGGCGCACATTTGACGTGCGACATTGGCAGCGGTAAAATGGTGTCTGATACATTTTCCTTTTTGACAAATGTCCGTTTTCAATAAAGAAACACACACACACACACACACACACATTCGGTGAATAAGAGACGAAAAACGAAGCCAAAATGAAACACAAGGTTCTATTTGTAGCATCCACACCTTTGGATCGACGCTGACAAATTATTTTCCATTAACGTCTTAATCAAAAATTGATAAAATTGAACGGGCACAGCGCGAGTGTAGAAAAGAAATGAAAATTCGGGAAGAGGGCGATATAGGGTGATCGAATGATGTGGATGTTGCAGCCAAAATGAAAGGAGAAAAAAAAACGGAAAATGAGATGAAACAGAATGTGTCTTGGTTTGACAACATCCACTCACTATGGATCGCCATTGATTGGATTTTAACCGAACAGAAATTGGCAATTTTACAAATAAAATGGATATATAATTTTCATTCGTTCACCGTGTGTTTTCTCTCTGTGCTACTCTAGTCGCGCTCTTTCATTCGATATGCGAAGCGAGGAAAATGTGTTTACGTGTTGAAATACGTTGAGTTACGTGGTCGATGCCCGAATAACCGACAACGAAGATGACATGAAAAATAAAACGAAGAGAAAATCGAATTCAATACCAACCCGGCCACTCGAATCAAATTCCAAAAGGAATTCAACGAATGGACAATGAATATAAATATAAATCAAAATGAATAGGTTTTGAGTTGTGTATGTATGGTGGTGGATGTGGCCAAGGAATTCTTCACAAATTAGAATATTTGCATAAATCGAATGCGTAATTACATTCACCAATTTGATGATGTATCAGCTCTGTTGCGAAAACCACCAACAACCACAACCGTGGCCACAAAACACAGTGAACCATCTCAAGATTTTCCCTCATCCCAATGAATACGTCTCTATACATTGATTATCAAAATAATTTTGCGACTTCCACGATTCATTTCTGCTTTGTTGAAATGTCGATGATGATGTCTTAGTATTTTGCATTCAGAGTGAATGACATATTTGCTTTCATTTTCATTTCTTGAATTTCCATTTCTTACATTCCTTACGGTTTCTCTTTCTATCCCTCTCTGTCTGTGTGTTTTTTATGCGATATTGTAACATCTTGAACTCTGCAGGCTCTTCCGAAATGCCACAATTCACATCGCGCCGATGCATCATTATGCTGATTCTGTTGTTCGGCTTCTTTATGTTCCAATTTTATTCAGCGAGTATTGTCGGCTCTTTGCTAATGGAAAAGCCAAAAACCATTAAAACATTACGGAATCTGATTGACAGCCCATTGAAGTTGGGAATTGAAGACATAGTTTACAACAAGGACTTTTTCAAAGTAAGTACCCCTGAGCCGAAGCATATTTTCTCTTCAATGCACACAGACATTTCGCGTTCACGCTCTCTCTCTCTCTCTATCTCTCACACACACCCTATCGTCAACACATAAACATGAACATAGACACGAATACACCTGCCGGTGATCAAACAAATCCAGCACACTTCCTGCTGTATCCAACTGAGAGAACGAGAGACATCGACAGATAGAAGAGGGAGAAAAAAGCGAAGAAAAACGAGACACAACCCATATAATCAAGTCTTTGTACATGCTTCCGTTATTTGCATCTAGTATCTTGTTTATGTTTCGCAAAAAAAAGAAGCGTCACAGCAATTTTAAATGAGTTTGCCGGGCTTAAATGAATCAAAATGTGCATATATAAAATCACTTCAGACTTTTGAATAATCGAACGCAAAAACAATGCACGCTCAGCTCTTTACCACTACCACATGTACACACACACACACACACACACACAAACGCTCACAAGTGAGTGTGTGAGTGAAATGTGGTGTGCGCGCCCATCCTCGAGAGAAAGAGAGGAAAAGCGAAAATCATTTGTACACTTGTTGACATAATTTTGATTCCATTGTCTCTTTTAATTCAGATAACTTTTTATAGCTCGCGGCTGATGGAAACGCAAACAGAAACTAACCGATTTGTTTTTGCAGGAGCAGAAAAAAAACACACGAACACAAAAGAGCGAGTGCAAAAAAAAAGTCCCGGCGAAGAGAAAGAATCGAAAAAAAGCCGAAGATAAATTCCGATTCTCGGATTTTCGTCGGTTTATCACTAGTCAAATAGCAGAAATAATGACAATGTGCTTCTCTTTAACATTGGTATTTGTCGCGTGCTATGTCACTTTTCTCTCTGTTGTTATTATTGTTGTCTTCTCCTAGCTGCAAGCGATATGCATACAGAATACCATTATCATTTTCGATACAGTTCAAATACGCGCGTCGCTTCCAATTCATTCATTTTTTTTTCTCTCGGGAGGACGACATAGGCAAACCTTCGGAAAAAAAAACAAAAAAAAAAATTATAAGCCATGTAGTGCAGCAAACTTGCTGCTTTGCAAAAAGAGCGAAACGTCAATCGATGATGAAACCACACAGATTGCGATCGCATTTGGCTAGTTTGCTTATTCGCCCCACAGTTATACAATGGACGATTGTGCACCTGTTATGTGTGCACACGAAACAATTCACTGCGATTCAATCATTGCAATTTTTTTTCTGTCTCTGTATTTGCGAGCCGAGCGAATAAACGAGTTGAAAACAATCGAGGAAAAAAAAGAAATGCGAAAAATCACCGGAAAATGTTAAATGTGGACAGTTTAAGGGAATCAAAGACACGACTCATTTGAAAGTCTATTTGAGAATATTTTTCGGCAATCATTGCTTGAGATTTGTACGTGTCAGATCCAAAGATTAAACGATTTGACCTTCTTCCTTGAGCTCATTTGGGCGAGAAAGAGGAAGAGGAAGAGAGAGAGAGAGAGACAACGTGAACGAGAAAACAGTTGTAAATTAATGGATTTGCTTGAGTTTTTGTTGTGACTTTGTAAAATTCTCTGTTATCGCATAATTTGTAGCGAACGACGGATGCAGTAGCATTGGAATTATACGATAAAAAAGTGAAAGTTGTCAACCCGAAAACTGGCGAGATCTTGTACAATTTTCTACCACCAGCAGCTGGCATGGACAAAGTAAAGCATGGAGGTGAGCATTTCTAGCATTTATTTTGGATTAATTCCAATAGATTAGTGACAACTGAACCGATGGCAGTTGAAATCCCATAGTCTTAACTCAAGGAAATGTGTACCATTTTGCGGAATGAGTTGGAGCGTGTGTGTGTGTGTGAGAGAGAGAGAATGAAAAACGCTACCATTTTAAATGGCACCGAATGCGAATGAATAATTTATTACTGAATCGAGCCATCTACACGGAAAATCATTTAAAATTATAAAGTGATTAATCGCATTTGCACAAAGGGCACATAACGATTTCCTATCTAACCACATTTACAAATGAAGTAAATAGTATTTTCGCCTCGGCGTTTTATGCAGCCGAAATATGTGAACAAATAGTGGTTCATTTTGTGGTGGCCCCAGAAAATATGGTGGGTATTGGCTTGACCTGTTAACTCGTCTCACGCTGGCCGCTCATTCCCATTTTGATTTTAATATTGGTTTGAGTGACATTTATATAGGTCAGATTTCAAATTACCTCATCAGCATAATTTATACATTTTGAATTTCGGTAGGTTTTTCCTCGTCATTCTTCGTCTTCGTCCTCCGTGTCAGAAAATTTGCAGCAAAAAAAAAAGAACGAAAAGATAGGCGGATCTGGTACAATCAACAAGATTGGAGCATATGGTCTTTTACGTAGCACACTTTATGTAAACCATTTGGTGTAATGATTGTTGTTTGCATTGTTTTCCTTGGAAATATTTTTTTCTGTTGCTGTTCTTAGTATTTTCGATTTTGTCTGGCTCACTCAACTCATTCGGTTCGCTTTGTGTTACACCAAGACAGAGAAGACGACGACGACGACGACGACGACGACGTTGGCTTGCCCTTCGAATTTCTGCACATCTTGCAAATGGGAACAACATAAAAATGTAAGAATAAATGAATAAAATTCCAATTCTGCCGCATTTTTTATGGATGTATTCGCGCAAAAAGATTGTAGAATATTTTATTTATTTTGGATGTTTTTGCTCCCCTATCTCACTAAGCCGTCGCTGTCGTTGTTGTCGTCATCGTCGATTTTCATTTCGAAATCACTGGAGACTGTTTGTTGTTATTTATCCATTTTGTAGGCGGCATATTCAAACTATTCAATACATTTTATTTAGTTTTCTAGCATTTTCAAATAACCATGACATGACATGACATGACATGAAGGTCGTTTTTATTTTATTCCTTTGCCAGCCCCCTCCCCCTTCAGATTAAACAACAATCTGATTTTGCGATCCAAATTTCCGTAAAATGTATGCAGATGCGACTACGATCGAATGAGTTTGCGACGAGTGGAGGCAGAACAGGCGGTGGCGGCGGAAACAGCAACAGCAGCACCAGCATCGAGCATATGAGGAAGGCAAGCAAAAGGGTTAGACAGAACAAGATACACATGATAAATGAATGTATATGCATAGATGTTGATATAATGTGCAGTATTAGATTAAAGCTTCCATTTGCTAATAAAGGCAATATGTACGTAACATCAGCAGGCGCTTCATTGGGAACTTGATCAAATTGCTTGAATGCGACGTGATTTGCTCTACTCGACTCTGCTCGCCTCCCAACCACTTCATCGAAAATATCACAAACAAGACACGATTTATAATTATTCATGCTGCACTAGGCATTGAACATGCAAAAATGATCATTTTTTTTTTCAAAACACACCAAACACACATGTGCTGGCTCCGGTTTTGTTGTGTAATTTGTTGAATTGAAAACACATTTGTTTTTTTTTTCAACTTCAAAAAAAAACAAAGAGAGAGAATGTAACATACTTTAAAAATGTCAGTCCAGCTGACATTCTGATTAAAGTATATCAATTGCTCAACCGCACACAGCATGGATGATGAATGATACCCAGAATTATTTCCAGATTGACATGGTCTTGCCCAAAGGATATGGCTAATAAAGATTCGTTTGGCAAATTCAAATCCCGAAAGAAGATTACAATGAGTCGGTTGAACGAAAAATAATACGGAGATTCGACAGATGGATACCTCATTGCTGATTCGATTCGATTGTCAGGAATAAATGCATTCGCTTGTCGAGAGCAAAAAAAAAATAAAACTACGAATCCTCGTGGCAACAAAATGAAATGAAAAAATCAAAAAAAAAATAATTTGCTTAAAGTTTATTTGGTTAGCCAAAGTGAAGATAATCAAAAATTCAGCGCTTTTACAATTCAGTTGAAAGAGGAATGTAAAAAAAAAGAACATGGAAATTTACCGTGTGAAATGAACAGCTAGTATTTCATCGTATGTTGACAGACGTTAGATTGCGGTGAAGCAGCGTGGAACTTACTGATGGGTGGCTTGTGGAGAATCATGTTTGTGAGGCAGGGTAGACCACAGCAGCCGTGTAACACAACATGTCATGAATACAGTTGGAGAGAGTGCTTAAACCTTCTCGTTCAAATTTTAATTATTTCTTTTTGGATCCTTTCTATTTTTCCAAGAGAACAAGACGACGTAGAAAAAGAAGAATAGGACGCATTTCGACGACTGTACCGTTTTCGGAGAGCAGAGAACATTAAACAAATGAGAAACGATGATATTCTGAGCTTTGTGAAATATGTTGGAAGACATTCAACAGAACAAAGGACCATGCTGTGCATTAATTTGATATGTTTAACACCGTCATTAAAGAAATGACGGCAGTTGCAAGTATTATGGCACACGCAAGAAACAAAAATACACAAACCGACCTCCCGCCAGCCAGCGCACGCACACTTTCTCTCTTGCAATTGCATGTGTTTCAAGTTTGAATTTTGAAACTGGTTAATTCATCCATAATTGTTTGCACATGATTAACGGAGGTCTGATTTGGATGGTTTATTTCAGCTTGGCGCCGCGTTAAAAGTCGAAAACATCGAGACACCATATCCAGAGATGAAAGCGAAAGAAAGCGAAAGAAAGAGAAATAAAGCAGAGTTGCATCAGGGCGCAGCGAAAATGTACGCTGAAAATGAATGAATTGAACTGGAAATTCAAGTGAGCATGTTAATGGTGCGATGTTCAAATGCATCTTTGGTCGAAAAATAGTTTAGCAGCAATAATAATTACGGAACAAATTAGAACGTTCTGGCGAGAGGGCGAGCGAAAATACTTTCAGAATGATTCTTCATAAACGAAAATAAATTGAAACTGCGTTGCAGCTCAGCATGTGTGCCTGTGTATATGAGTGTGTGTGTGTGTGTGTTTGCTTGTATTAGTCTGAAGCAATGGGGTTGTTCGGTCGTTTGGTTTTCGAAAATTTTAAATTAAGTGAAACAGTTCAGCTATTGTTGCATATATTTGTTTATTTTTGCGGTATTTTAACTGAGATGCTGGTACAGAATCCCACTTTTTGTGTGCCATATTGCCGCATCCAAATTTATAAGTCATCGGTGAAAGAGATACAGAGCAAGAGCGAAAGGGCAATGGAGAGAATGAGAGAAAAGCGCCGTAATTGACTGTAATGAATCTATATATTGGTGTAGTCTAACTGAGTAGCGGTGTGTGGTAAACGTCCCAAACCGTACGAACGCAAAGAGAGAACAAGTTCTAGATCGAAAGAATGAGAGACTGAAAAAGTGAGATCCCAACTATGGAATTCAATTTCATAATTTTTATTTTATTTCCTCTACTTCAATTTATCTTCCTTGTCTGTCCAAACATAGTTTGATTTCGCTTTTGCATTGTTATGCTTGGGTTTTGGTTTGGCGTGTATATATGTGTTCGCTTCTATTCCGCTCAGTTCATATAGTATTAGCCACTGTATGGGAAGCGCACAAGTCGCATCGAGTCGATGCCAACGCGCTTCACACGAACAGCACATCGAATATCGTGTATGGATAGCGTTTTCGGGTAATAATTTACCTTTCTACATAGCCACGGGCATACATGTGCTGTGCATGCATTTAGTAAACCAAGAGCAGAAATGCATATTTTATTAGACACAAAACCCAGCAGCATACTCAATCGACGACAACGGCAACGGCAACGACGATGACGACGACGACGACGACGACGGTGACGGCCGACCGAGAGGAAAACGTACCGTGCTTGCATTTTAAAAGGCAACCAGCCATCCAACGCACAATGAGTTTGCATGGCGTTTTTCTGTTTCGTTCTCCATGAATATTTTTCGTAATTAAATTTCTCAAAGTTTATTTCGAAGTGCCTACACTATACATATATTTACATTCGATTGACTCGAGTTCCAGGCTCATCTGTACATATGAAATGCCCAGCAATTCAACCGCCACGTGCTTGCTGATGCGAAAAGTGCGCATCTCTTTGCCGAATGCAACCAATTTAAGTAGAATCGCAGGGTAATGGTTTCTTGTACACTTTTAACAGGGATTCACTAAAATTGCATGCTTCGACCTCAGCACAACATTCAACATTTTAACCAAAAAAATTTTAAGTGAGAAAACAACAGAATGAATCGCATGCGCTTGTTCATTAGAGCGATGTACGTAATTCAGTACATTTGAGCTATTTTCGATTCGAGTAGAAAATGAACTAAAATTGAATTCTTCCACTGCAAACTAGAACGGGGAGAAAAAGAAAAAAAAATTGCTCCATAATTCGAATTTCGATTCGTAAAGTCGAAATGATTCGTTTCATGAGTCCCTGGCTTTCCGGCAAAATTTGTTCAAATTACGTTTTATCAATTTACTTATTTTATGCCAAATTTACTAGTCTAACTACGGCTTTTCTATGCCCTTACACGTTTTCCATAGGTATTCACACAAGCAGCTTATACACACAGCAGCCATGCTGCATTTTCATTCAGTATGGGTACTTTTTTATAATTTAACTTTTCCTTCCCTCTATATTTTCTCGTTTTTGCCTGCTACCATATTCTCGGGTCTGAATTTTCGGCGGCAACACGCTCGCGCGCGCACACACACACACACACACACACACACATTGGTTTTGGTTTCCGCGTATGTACGATATACCGCGATAGGATTTGCCTTCCATGCTGATACAGCAACATTCTACAAAATCATTATAGACGAATTTTCGGAGCGCTCGATATGTGAATTGTCTGAAATTCAGCTATTCCCGGAGCAGCACATGATGGCCATTGTACAAAAGGGATCGCCGCTACGGAAGATGATAACATATGGGTAAATCGATATAAAATAAGTATTATTATCGAGTGCTTAAAAACTTTCATTTAACAAAAAACGAAGATGTAGCAGAAGTAGAGTAACGCACAGTCGCACACTCATTCATACGGTGCAAGTTATGTATGGTAGTTTAGCCTGTGTATTCAAAGTGCTTGGTGCTGGGAAATGCATTGGAATTCTGTAAAATGAAATAGCGCGCGCCATCCATGATGTGACCATAAAAAGAGAGAGTGAGAGCGACACACACACATGAGCACATTTTTATTATTTTAGATATTGTTCGTTTGTTACTTAGACACCAAACCATTTTGAACGCATCTCGACTATTTTCATTCATACGACGACTACACAAAGAAGATCTGCCACTTGAATTCAATTTTCAAGTGGTCATACAGATGTCAAATTCGGAAAATGGATTTTACATTCAATGCGAATTTCATATCCGGCTTCAAGTTGAATTTTGTCTTTTATATACCATTTACAGAAATGCAGCCGCAAATGTCAATAACGACTATAGCAAGCAAGAACGAAAGAAAGAGAGAGAAAAAACTTAGATATACAAACACAAAATATAAAATATTCGGATTTCATTGCTTTTGGCTTGAATGCAAACATTTACTTCTCGATGTTTTGTCGGTGCTTCTTACCAACACATCACGTCGCGCATAATGATCAATATATATAGTGGCTTTTGTACGGAATATAATCTCTGTCTTTGTCTTTCACTCTGTCTCTCTCGCTCTCGGTTTGACGTCTGCACAAATGTTATTCCTTAACATTTTGCCGTCATTTCACTTGGCGTTAATTATGAAATGCCATGCTCATTTTCATGAGAGGAAGTCACAAATTCATATAAACGCACTAAAAATTTCGCATGGATTACTGTCTGATTTACTTGAATGACTACAGTTTCAACTCAAAAATGCGAATGGCTCGTAATTTCGAAACGAAGCATTGTTTGTGTGCACTGCGCAAAGAATGTGGAAAAATTTCGACGCTTTCTGGAGATAAAAAATCGTGGTCATAATTTAATTATATCAAACGTAATCAAAATTTCATTTTCCGGTTTGTTACCCCACAAAATGTGCGATATATTCTTCGATAGTAAATTTCATTTTAAAAAAAACAGCACATACACACACCAACCTTTATTCGAACGACATTCACATGAGCCGTACACAGAGCAACAAGGTATCATATGAAAAATACTTTTTTTTAAGTATAAAATTATCTATTGAGTGAATCAAAGCGAAACGTGTTTCACATCAACTGAAAGATGGTAACGACTGATTGAATTGATGTTATTGCTATTAATAAAGTGTATTTGATTAAATCTTTATCAAAATTTTCGTAGAAAACCTCAGAAATGTGAATTGGCTGCGGGGTTGGGACAATTTGCAATTTACCTACTAATTTCCGGGTTGGAACTGTAGTGATAATGGCAAGCCATTATTAATGACGGCGAATGACTTTCCAAAAATTTTGCCGATGTGCAGGAGAGAAATGGAGAGAAGGAGGGAGATGTGATGATTAGAGCGAAAGTAGGCGATTGGAGGTCGGTGGATGGGTGGGCGTTGGCGTTAGGTGAAATGTAATGTACTAAAATTGGCTGTTGAAATCCATGAGGGTTGAATAACATAAGTGCGTCGCTATTAACATTATCTCTCTATGTTGAATTTCATTACGTATATGAAGTGTTAATAGAACATTTTATTAAATAAATGTCAACAAAATATCGTACTTGAACGGAATAAAGGATTATGTCAAGACGTGTACGTGTTCACCATTGTATACAATATGACATTCAATACATGGCATCAAGTAGTAGTAGTAGCAGTGGCCAAGTGTTGAAATGAGAGCGATAGACAAATAGAGAACGCATAAGAGACAGATAGAGTGGGTTACAGTTTGGCAGCATGCCTGTGTTGCGATTTCGTTGATAGCATGATAGCTCATCATTACGTAAAGCACGATTGGATGGCCCTTTGCGTTGAATTAATATGCAAATATTATTGTAGACAAGTCTCTTACTCATCATATTGTAGAAAGAAGAAGAAGAACAAGAAAAAATTATGCCATCTAAATTATGTCCATGTTACACGAACTACGAATAATTAATTGAAAGCGATACGTTGTGATTGTCGCCTATAATCGCTTTTCGATGATTTTCAAGCACCTGTACTCAATTCATGTCAATTTAATGAAGAAAACTCGCCCCGTAATAGCGACCAAGTTCACAATCACTCTTTATCTATCTCTTGCACTCTCGATAATAATATATGTTCTGCATCCTATCCATACTCTTCATAAATTCAGATTGCGACGAACATTCGAGCATGGGCTCTTGTATTACGAGCGGAAGCGTTGGCATTCACCGAAGCCGCAATGCGTTCGACAAATGCATCCGGAAGACTTAATGGTGAGTTAATGTAATTTACCATAGCATTGTGTGCGTTATTACCGTGTGTGTGTGTGTGTGCTTGGTTTCTTTTTAGGTTTCGATCGATACCATCGAATCAGCATTTTTCATATTGATACTTGGTATTTTGTTGAGTGTCACGTTGCTGCTGATCGAAAATGCAATATGGTTTTTTAAGAAAAGCAAACAACTCCATACGATCACCTATTTAAAATGAAATTGAGCACCCTTGACACTGACTTACTTACCATTTTTGATGACATTTTCTCTTCCGTCAATGACACTTTCAACGGCACAAATTTTCACAACAACCAAGACAGAAAAACCAATGAATAATAAGTATTACAACGAATTCGCCATTAATGTTGAATCAATTCGGTTTTTTTTTCTTCTCTTTATTTAATCTTATTTATTGATCTCATAAAATAATACTGTTTATCTTTAAATACGTAACTGAATAAGAGGATTTTATGCACAAAGGCAGCAAACAGCATCGAGATGATATCGATTTTAGTTGGTGGCGAAATTAAGTCGATAAATCATCTATATCGTGTGTTTCGGTTTGTTTATGTGTGTATATATTTGTGTGCAATGGATCCGGCTCTACTTTTTCATAGCGATTTCATTCGATAATGTTTGCTGCTTCTGAAATTTTGTTATTGTTTTGCTTATTTAGTTGGAATTCCCTTTATTAACACGTGACATATCCAATAGCCTTCGATGTTCCAATACACTAGAACTATCAGATATTCTCTTTGTGTATGTATATGTGTCTATGTCGATGCACGCATGAAAAGCACCAACTCAACAATATTGTCACTCGAAAAATGGTGAAGTTAATAGATGCGACGACGCATTTTGCAACACTCTATCTCTCGTTTCGGTACAAACACTTCACTATAGTTTTGTTTGATTACATTCTCGGTAAAAGTTATTTGCTAAGTAACTGAATTAGTGTGTTACGAGAAACTTTTTGGGGCCGAGGCGGAAATCCGTCCGCCCAACTCTATGTGTCACCATTATGCACATCAAGTTTTGAGTGGCAATATATTGATTTGGATCCGATTTCTCTCTGTATCGGATTAACTTCTTAATTTTGCTATAACATTTGGATTTGCTTAATGCGTTGTTTTTGTTGCGTTTTTTTTTTGTCTTCAATTTAACTTGTCTGAATTTGATGAAACTGATTTTTGTTGATGCCATTTAGTGCTATTTAAAATTGGTGACATACACTTAAAATATATTCATATCAATTTTCGTTTAAATTTATTTATCCATAGCGTTTTTGTTGTTGTTTCTTTTGAAATATTTTGTGTTTTTTGTTATTGTTCATTTTCAATGAATATTTTGATCAGTTAGTTGTTTTTTTTTCTTCTGTTGTCTTTCACAAATAATGTTAATGCTCTAAGTAGCATCTTTGTAACGTTTGTTATTTTAAAGCGCAATAAACCATTTTTCGTGCTTAAACGACACACTCCAAAAAAGCTTGAACTGTGTTTTTTTCTCTTTCCTTTTTTTGTTCTTTGGATTTGCCCCTATAATCTTGTTATTATTGCTAAATACATTTTTTTAAAAGTCATTGCGACCGTTTTCATCCTTTCCGTCGTCCTTTGCAATGACTTGCTAACTTTTGTTTACATTTTGTTTGTTGTCTTCTTCTAGTTGTTGGTTGTGGGATGTCTTAGTTTATCTCTTTGTTTTTTTTGTGTGTGTTTCAATAGAAAAAAAAATGAAGATTCAATGATTATCTATAAATGTGGGTGTTCACCCCAGAATACAGTTTGGAACAGAAAAAAAGGAACAAAGGTATACAGACGCTTACACGTTTTTGGTAGTAGAATAGTTTTTTTTTTTTTAGCTTAGTTTGTCATTCACCTTTTTTTGCACACTACAACTGAACCGGTTAAAATGAAATACACATTGAACAGTCAAAGGAGTATGAGCTTAGATTTTGAGTGTGTGTGTGTGTGTGTTCAATATACAGTACGATTTTATTTCTATTTTATTCTATTTTTTCGCTCTTCATCTGTTTTGTTCTATTCATATAGATATTCGTATTTATTGTACTTTGTGTGCACAATTTCATTTGTTATTTGTTGATTTTTTTTTTGTTTTTTCATTTTGAGCAAAAGTTTTTCTTGCGTTATTCGTTTTAAAAAATAAATTCTCGAAATGCAAAATGGATGACGATATGAATCAAGCTCAAGGATTTCGATAAAAGTTGATTCAAGGTATTGATATGATAATAATGAGATAATAATACATATATTGCTTCATTTGTGTATGTGTTTGTGTGTTCATCGGTCGAAATGTTGTGTGCAAGATATGCGTGAATATGAAATCAGGTATACTACATCGGAAAGACATCATTGATCGTAAACAACATTTCAGAAGAAGGATATGTGATTTTTTGTCTGATTGCGAATTTTGATATCATTTTGATACGTACATTTTTTGATCAATTTTTCTTTCTTCATATCACGCATAATAAATCGATTAGAAAATGTTTCCGGAAGTATTGTTTTCTTTCCTTCTTTGGTTTACAGCATGAATCGTGCCACAATCATGCAAACAACATTCCATCATCGCATTTCAACAAGAATTAAAACACTTTCCCGGTGGCCATTAAGGAAGAGTAATTGATTTCCTTGCATACTTGTTACTTTCGAAACTCAAATAACAGTGATTATTGCCATCATCAATGATCAATACATGTATTTAAACGATTCGTGAAAAAAACGGAGTCGTAAAATTGTTTCCGCATCAAATTTGCTTCCGTTAGCATTTCATTTTCATTCTCTGCTGCTTTGGTTTGAGATTTATGTGGCATAAATATTCCATATGATTTACTTAAATAACAGATTTTATGGCAAAAAAAAAACAATGCAAAACCGATGAGCGGTAAGTTAAATCAGGCAGCTCGAAAAAAGTGATGAGTTCACGAGAGCGCGAAACGCTGTTGGCATTTCTTTCAGCTTAACTTGACAATGAAGTTTTCGTGTTGGTGCGTCAACACAAACTTCCACTCACTCACATTCGCATCTCATTTTTCTTGTGCTGAAATAATTACGATGTCTCGAATTCAAAGAAACTTTTATTTGGGCTTTTAACATTTTTTAAGCGCGTTGTATGTGTGTATCTGAAATATACATATTTGTTGGCATCAAACTTTTTCCACAGTCACATATTACACACATACAGATTTCTTGGTGAATTTTAAAAGCTGAACGATACATCACTTTGGAGACATAGAAAAGGGAAAAGTTTTTTTTCCGCTTTTATCCTGTGTCGTTGCCGTTTTTCTCTCTCAGTTAAATTGGTTGATATTTGCATTGAACAAAAGTTGATTATATCCTGGAAGTCAGTGAACGACGTGAACGTGCCGTTCGTCTCCGGATGCATAGAATATGGGATTTGTGAGTGCTAGCGGGCGTGCGCGCGCGTTCATCCACATACATGTGAAGAATACACATTTATATGTGTGCTATTTCTACAGTGTCTTTTCTCACTAAACTTGATTTTATCAATTAACATAAATAATCATGAAAATGTAACGCATTAATGTTCCCGCTATGAATTGCAAAAATGAACGAACGAACGAAAGAGTGGAAATTTGAGAATGAGTTTTCATTCGGTTCAGCGTCTCATATGTGTATATAATGATGAGTAACTGTGGCGGATCAAGTGTGGTGGAATGCGAAAAGGAAAGATGATGACACTGAACATGCGTGTACAAAGTGCAAGTGTTGAAGTTTTCTCTCTGTCATTCCTACCATTTTCTTGTGTTTCTTTTTCCAACGGATGACATCAAGTTTTCGCTGGCACTATAAAACTATTGGTTTCACAAACAGCTGGACCATACACGAATGAGATATGTGAGAAAGTTAGTGCATTAAATTTTCGAAAACGAATTTAAATCCAGTGCATCACATACGAGCTCTCGCTATTTGGATGTGGGCCAAAAGTTTCTTGGACGAAAGGAAAATTTTCAACTTTAGTTCAATCCACGGCCAATGCAAGACCGACTACAACAACTACATACACATAAATTTTTTGTGTGATGGCGATATGAGTTACGTTCTGGTTGCCGTTCCGACTGACAGCAGAAGTAAGCGAGCAGAAATAAGTGAGAAGAAATGTCGAAAAGGTGAAAAACGAAGTCTAACACCATTTAAATTCAATAGCGCAGTGACACTTGGAGCATTATCGAGAAGGTTAATTGAATATATGTTGGTGTTAGCATTGCCACTGCTGCTATTTTATTTCGTGCTTTCGCTCACTCCAACTCCCAGCCCGAACCATTTCTCTGTCAAGTCTGTTTATGTTTTCGAATGGCATGAAGACACATTATTTCGAAGTTTTCAAATTATTTCACAAAGTGCCGAAGGAGAAAACTTTCTCACTCGCTTCGTTCGCTCGCTGCCAACTTTAGTTCATCAAAGATTTTTAGTTAATGGTTCCAATGGACTAGCACCGCACACACCATTCAGCCGCATAATATTAGCAAACACGTGTCCATGTTTGTATTTGTGTATTTGTATTTGTATTTGATCTAATGGAATTATTTGCTGCACATATGCGAAGAAGAAGAGGAAAAATAAAATAAAATAAAACAAGAATACTACACACATCGAGAAATCAGAGAAAATGAAATGTTCAAATTTCAGTCTTTTCTCGCCGTTGATGTCTTTCGCATCGCTCAGAATCGCTTTCACGAGAACTTTGGCGCACAGCATGAGTGTGTTCGTTATTTCGTTTCGCAAGTTCAAACTCGCACCGCTCGTTACTTCGCTCAATTCTCTCTCTCTCTCTCTCTCTCTCTCTCTCTCGCAATCTTCACATCTATTTATCACCACTCGCATCTATATTTTCCCGTCAAATATTTACAGTGTTTCTTACTTGTTATATATGTTTGTACGCGTCTTTTTATGACGTGGCATGAATGGTAGGTATATTATCGTGTGAATGATATTTAAGGATTTCAGCAAAAGTTTTCCGTATTGGTTTTGACTTTGCAAAAACATTATGGCCACTCTCTCTCTCTCTCTCTCCTTTCCTCCACTCACTTCGGCTTACCGTGGTGCAATAAGTTGGCATGAAGTCGATTTGTAGTCACATACTAAAACTCCGAGTGTAAGTACACTTTTGTGACTTTCGCACCACTGCAAATGCAGTCCAAGTCATTTATTTTATCAACATACGTGCAGTCATTATTGGATAAATTGATCATTGTTGATTACTTTGCCGAATACTTTTGGCCGAATCGCAAGCAAAGTTCACACACTTTGTGTCGTGGTTATTATCGTAGGATTCGAGAAAGAAAGAGCGAGAGCAAGTAGAAAAGGCCTGGCTTCGTGGCTGGTAGATAGGGACTGGTTCTGGGTAAACGGATTCGTTTAGGTATGAGTGTGGAATTGTCAAAATCGAGATGGAAAAAAATCAGCGAAAAAAAGCAAATGATGAGCGCCAAGTGGAAATGTCAAGTATTTTATAAATTTGCGTGAAAATGTTTGTTTTATCACCTGTTTTACGTGATATCAGCCATATGTTCGGCATTTTATTTGATTTTACTCTGATAAATTGACGAGAGAGAGAGAGAGAGGAGGAGGAGAGAGATCGAAAATGCCATCGTTTGAATTGACACTTTTTTTCATCAATTTCCTTGAACGTTTTGCAATGAATTCTCGCCATTGATCGCACATTTTCATGTATGAGAACCAGAGAAAGGCTGAGTGAGAAAAAACTCAATGTATATTTATCGGCATACAAACACATAATTTCACACAGTATTGCAGTGGAATACATTGATGTCACTGATTTTATGAGACATCTGCGCACAGCGCACACATACATCGGCCACAATGCATCTTTCCTCGCAGCACTGTGAGGCCTACTATGACGAAAATATTGAAATGAATATTGAACAAAAATAAATGATTTATCAAACGATTGTTATGCATCGCACATATCGATGCATTGTCCTCTTTTTCATGAAAAAATATATATAGATATTGTAAATAATGGATATTTTTGCCTTTTGTTCGCATATCACCATAATATCTCTTGCTTTCTAGCCATCCATACCCATGCCAAAGCATTTGCTTTAAAACGTATGCAATGTCCATGCATATCTATGGATTGTATTTGCTTCGCATATAAATATTCCAATATGTAGTTGCATTGCTGTGTTACTGCTGCTACCGCCATTTATTATCAATTGTTAGTCATGCCACTCGAATGGATTCGTTTGAAAGGCAGCTTTTAGAGCGGTGATTCTCATATTGTTGCTGTTGTTGTGTTATTCTGTCTCGTTTTAAATTGGTACGGTCATTCAGCAACCGAAGCGCTTCGTCTTATGTAAAAAGTCGATACAACACGATAAATGGAAATTACTTTTGTTCAGAAACAACCCTAATTGGCACTGTCAATTTTCCACTAGCTTCGAACAAAACCTAAACATTTTGATAATAAAATCGGTAAAAAGGTAATCGAGAGAGTGACAGAGAGACAAAGAGACACAGACACGGAGGCGGAGAGAGAGAGAGAAGGGCTCGTGTTTGTGTTAAATGAATTGAAAGCGAATACACAACATTCCGGTTAAAATGCTCATGTTTCGCGCACTTTTGTACACTCTGTACAGTCAGCAAATTGGAAAATAATGGAAATACAATAATTAATGACAATAATGAGCTGATATTGAGCTCATCGATACCATTCAATATTGAGTAGGATGTTCTGCGAACACGAAAACAATGTCGCTTCATTATTATTATCATTGTTTTGAATGAGTTTTTGAAGAGAAACAATTTTTCCACTTGTTCCACAATTTAAATCGTCTTATCGAATTTGCTTCATTATTGAGCTACATATTTTGCTCATAAAAACTCATTTGCTTTTGTGAAATGGTCTCGTATTTTTAGAATCACAAAAATCGATGAGAGCTTTCATATCGATTCGCGGAAAAGTGAAATTCAAATTTCCACCTTTGAAATTATATATCACTATTACCCGATGCGTTTGCTCTTGAATAAAAATTTCCAAATTGATTCGAATCGATTTTTTTTTCTCATTCAGTACAGTTTGCAGTAGGCATTGAGCTTTCTCTCTCAATCTCATATCTTAAAATACTTGCAAGATAAGATTAACAAATTATGGGGAACGGGCACTTCTAAACAAAAGCCATATAAAATATTCCGAAGTAATGCTTAAAATGGCAAGCTTAATTGCAAAAGCATTCAACTATTTTCAGACACTTGTTTTTGTAGCTATCGAACAGTTGCCATGAAATTGAGCATTTTACCGAGGCGCTCATTCAAAATGTGTGTTTCCCGAAGTGTTTTGCGATTGAATGTGGAAAATGTTGATTGCAGTAAATTGAAAGTTCGAAACGATACGAAAGAGAAGGCGTTCGGAATAAAATGCGCAATTCAATGTGCAATGTGCATCGTGGAATGAACGTTAGTCAGGCAATGCAAGGGGCGAATCACTGCTGAATTTACTGAAAGTATTGCGGACAACTGAATTTTGTTTCGGCTTTTCAGTGCTTTTTAGTACCAACAGATTATTCTATCGAATACAGATAGCATAAGTCCAGTAGATTTTTTGATAGACCTATTTCTTTGGTGGATTATGACGTCATTACTTCCATGTGAATGTTTTGGAGCGAAAATGTAATACAGAAAAGTTGAGCGGAAAAATGTCAAATGAAAAGGGATAGCTATAAAGTTCACTATAGTTTTACTATACAGTTTACTATATAGCTATCCCTTTTTCGCTCATTCATCATCGACATTTTTCCGCTCAAATTTTCTGTATTATTGGGTGTATGCATTAATTTTAAAGAATTTTTGAGTTCATAGATACATTTATTAAAATAATAAAATGAATGAGTACATTAACCAATGTATTCGCCATCGTTAGCTATGACTTCTAGCCATCTTTCAGGCAGCTTGTTGATTCCTCGCTTTAAGAAGTCCTCGTCTTTTGAGGTTATGTAGTCATCAACCCATTTTCGCACTTCTTCCTCATTTTGAAAGCGTACTTCAGACAGGGCAATCTGCATCGATCGAAATAGATAGTAGTCGCAAAGAGCAAGGTCTGGAGAGTACGCGGGCTGATCAAGCCGATCTCAACCGAGCTGCTCTACCTTATTTTTAACGATTGTTGCACGATGTGGCTTAGCGTTGTCATCGTGGAACAAAACATTGTGGTGTTTTCGAGCTATTAATGGCCGTTTTTCATCCAATGCATGAGCCAAATCATTCAATTTGCGTCGATAGCGTTCCTTATTAATCGTTTGATCTGGTTTTAGGAGCTCATAATACACGACTCCTTTCATATCCCACCAGATGCACAGCATAACCTTATCGCAATGAATATCTCGTTTTGGCTGGGATAGCGCCGGTTGGCCGGGATCAACATACGCTACTTTACGCTTGGGGTTTTCGTAATAAACCCACTTTTCATCGCCGGTAACAATTCGATATAAAAAACTGTGTTTTTGTGCTCTGCAAGATGTTTTTTGCATGTGACGATCCGTGCTTTGCGCTGCTCTTCAGACAGTTGATGTGGAACCCACTTTCCCAGCTTGCGAATCTTTCCCATTGCATGCAAACGTCTGGAAATGGTTGCTTGGTCTACGTTCAACTCCAATGCAAGTTCTTTTTGCGTTTGACATGGATCTTCATCCAATAATGCTTGCGATTCGTCTTCTTCAAACTTTTTTGGCTGACCTGACCTGACCGTTCTTTGTCTTCCACGTCAAAATCTCCAATTTGGAAGCGTCGAAACCAGTACTCACATGTATTAGACGATGGAGCATTAGAGCTACCATAAGTTTTTAAAAGCAAACGATGACTTTGAGCAGCAGTTTTCTTCGAACTATAGAAGAAAAGTAAAACTTCCCGCAAATGCTGTTTTTTCGGCAAGTATTTTGACATGATTGTAAGTGAAAAAAATTATGTTGTTTACGCTTTGGTAAAATAACACCTACTGAAAACTAATGTCAAATGATGTGGCTTTTACGTGAATATAGTTACAGTATAGCCCGATGCGTTATAGTACAAGTTACGCCATCTGTAGTGGAAATTCTTTAAAACTAATGCATACACCCGATACATTTTCGCTCCAAACCATTCATATAATATATGAGATATTAAAACTACTGAAAAAAAATTACCAGGTACTGAAAAGTACTGAATCCAGTCCCGTAATGATCCAGTTTCAGTAGTAACTCGCCCCTTGGACAAATGCCGAACAGTATTTCAAACTAAATCTCTAGTCAATAATAAGTGTTAAGCTGGGCTTTTTACCACCGATACTACTATAGTTGCATTGTTAGAATTGTAGATAAACATCGATTGAGAAGCAGAATGAAAGATAGATAAAAGTGGGGAAGAGCGGGTGAGATGGAAGAGAGAACACATGCTTTTCGGATGTGAAGACGATGAGGAACTAGTCAAACATATTGCATGAAATGATTGGCCCTCAGGAGCCAAAAAGCTTTCAATTCAGAGGATACATTCTAATACCTGGAAATTGAGTCAATGTTAATGCACTTCTTATTTACAAAACGACAAATAAAAATTTTACTACAACCAAACGAATGACGTTTGATGAATTTGAGCACCAAAATGTTCGCTGATGTTCGTTGTTATATTGTAAGATTGGCTTTGTGCTTTCTTTATGTTTGTAGAAAAATAATCAACTAATATATGTTGTTGTTGGTGGAAGATGAGATCTGTTTCGTTCTACGTAAGTGAAAGTGATATTATACATTCATCGAGAATCATCATAGTCTCGTTTGCACAAAGAAAATGATATATAGGCGTTTTTAAACATCTAACGAATTTAAAAACAATATCAGCGGGACCTTATGTACTGCGCGTTGTCTAAGTTTATCTCTTTTCGCTGCTGTTTCTTCTTGTTTTTTTTTTCTTCATGTAAAACAAGTTCTCTTTTTTTACATATACGGGAATTTTCATGTGGACAAATGCTGTGTATGTGTGTATGTCTATGTGGGTTAACTAGTTTAAGAGGCTTTGGCCAGCATTTGACATATGTATATATAAATTCAATCAGCATGAGCCACAAAGTCCCTTCAATCGACTAAGCTGATTGAACTTTTTTTTCTATTCAGTCCAAGTACATTCAAAACGACGGCCAAACTTTGTAGCCGTTTCGTTTGCTTGCAATCGCAAACAAAATGACAATTCTGCGCACATTTTGCGCAATTACAAATGTTCAACATAAGTTTTTTTTCTTTCTTGATTTAACAATCATTCTTACCCATATCATGACTTGAAACATTTAAGAATAACTTCAATGGTGAGCTGTTTAGCTTTGGATTTTCAATAGTCTAAATCATTATTGTTAGGATTTTTTTTATTATTTATAAACAGAGTATTTAAGTTTCTTTTTAGGTGCAATTGGCTGTGCAGAATGGTTGATTTGAGTTTTGGACCAAGGGAACTATTTAGCTGAAAAATATAATGAAACTAGTACAATTTTAAGCTAAATGCTCAACAATAAGTTATAATGTGGTTTCTTTTCGTTTGCTCATTTAAATAAAATATACAAAACTGAAAACAAATCGATTCATTAAATAGTTAAAATTCACATTTAATGTTTTTTTCAGCATAAAAATAAATTTGAAATATTTTTTGTCAATTCGTGTGCATCTGAAATGGTATTTAATATTACCTTGTCAACCGTTTTTTTCGGTTTTTGTTAAGCGGAAATTACATGTCACGACACTGTCAATGAGTCAATTCATGAAAAAAAAAAAGCTAAACAATCATCCAAAATCCAGTGAATTTTCATAACACGAATCATTCTGAATTTTGTTTCAAATCCAAAACGATTCATTAATCCGGCTGACTCATTCATATTTCGACAAAATGAATTTTTGAATAATTTCCATTATCATCATTGGGCCCATCAACACGTTTGCAAGAGCACGACATAACATGTCATCGGCTGATATCACAAACTATTTTCACTCGATGCTAATCATATTATTTATTTGATGGGAACGCACGTGGGAAGGGGGCTGATTTTGAGTGGAATGTTATTGACATCAGCTCATTTTCAACATTTTATAGTCAATATTTTTAGTCGATACAGATGTTAATTCATTTAATTATTATTATATGCAAATCAGAGTAACGCGCGCGAAAATGATACAAAATGTAATAATTTTCCTCATTTCAACGATATTTTACACAATTCGTGATGCAGGTTTTTGTTTTTCATTTGGTTGTTATTTCATGTAATAGTAATTCGTTTAAAATATACTTTGTCTGTTTTTTTTGACACTATTCTTAATCATTGCATAGATATTTTCAGATTTCCAATGTGCTCAACTTGGTCTTTTTTTTGTGGAATAAAAATTTATATTTCTTTTAATGCATTTTTTTTCTTTCTCTTGGAATTTAAAACAAAATACGGTAGCACCGTTTTTATATGCGAAACGAATGATTTGGTTTTTTTATTTTAGGTGTTTTTTTCTTTCTGTTTAAATTCTAATAAGAAAAGCTTTTTACAATTTATCGGAATATAGTTCCAAGTTCCAAAAACCGAGAATACACAAAAATCACATACACTTACACATTAGACTCTCGGAAAATATGTACAATTAAAATTAACAATGTGTATTTTTCGGGATATGGTTTTATGACAATAACAAATACTTGCCGAGGAAAAGTATCGATAGCAGTTTGGCGCATCCAATCAATGCGAATTGATGCGGTGAATTGCCTGCAAAGCAAACGAAAAAAATGAACCCAATAAATTTAATTGAATTTTTTTAACTGCTTTAAGAAATCTAATCATCTTTTCAATGATATGTAGCCTAGGGGACAGACACGATTAAAAAAATAGTGATATTTCGTTTAAAAATAGCAAAGTTAGCAGAAATTAGAGAGACTGAAACTTTTTTGTTCCATACATTAAGCATTGCCAATACATTTTCTTATGGAGGTTGTTTTGTTTATTTACCGTTCTTTGTCAACAAGTCTGCCTATATCAACGCATTGCACTGTACATAGTATATGTCCATAAGAAATGCACAGAGACAATGCAAAAAGATAGGCAGATTTGTTTACAATCAACAATAAATAAACAAAACAAAAATCTCCATAAGGAATGCATTGGTAATACTAAATGTGTGGAAGAAAAAACTAACAAATTTGCAAAAACTTATGTTCTAATTCCATAAGTTGGAATTCCACAATGAAAAAATCGTTCAAAATAGTTGAATTATGACAAATTGATACCGTGTCTTGCCCCCAGTATGTAGCTAATTTTCATTGAAAATGGAATAACAAAAATATGTCCAAGCCGGAAGCAGTTACTTTTCAAAATTGCACTCACCCGAATTTCCATAGTCTTGTGGTGGATATTCCGTGTAGAAGACACTCTGACCAATTGCTACGGAGCCTTTGCGTTGATCGATGGCATTGTTTGACGAGCCGGCAATTGTGTTGCTGCTCGTTTGACCCAGTGTGTCAGAACGAAATATGACTTCAGGTTGAACAACTCGAGTTGTGTCGTTGCGTAACACCGAATCTATGTCGAACACAAGCACAATTACAAATTGATCAAATGTCGTGCACAACAAAAGAAAATAAGAAAAAAAAAAGTAGACGAAAAAAAGTAGACGAAAAAAAGGCCAACAAAAAAAAGCAGACAACACTGTTGGTGTAAACATATTGTTCTGCCCCAAAAATTGTTGCAACGTTTCCTTGACGGAAATCATCACTTTGGGAGTCATTTTCCGATGATAACAAAAGCTTTTCACCATGGCCAGGCACTTTGGTGAGCGCGTATTAAAAACGCGAGAAAAATAAGCGAATATACATCAACATATTAAGCAATTGTTTTAACAGCATCAATTGAGAATGACTTGGCTGGGGTCTCTGGTGTTTCATTACAATTTGTTTGCTTTTTTGTCTGTTCATTTGGGTAAATGCATGGAATAATTTTTTCATAAAAGTTCTCTAAAAAACACATTCACGAAAAAAAGAAGAGTGGAAAGAAAGACAGACGGAGAGAGAGAGAGAGAGAGAGAGAGAGAGAGAGGGGGAGGGAGCCATCGAAAATCTGCTTGGTTGCTTGTTCGTTAAGCGAGTTTGAGCGCTCGTCCTCAATCGAAAATCAAAACAAATCAAGCAAACAAACAAGTTAACCGAAGCGATTACAGGAAATTCCCTGAGCGTTTTCTCGTACATATAACGATCGTGTTCTTATGAGACAAATCATTACGTTTAACATTATTGTGTTGCTTTGATGAAAAACGCTGATAAATAGAAGGAAACGACAGCAAAAATCTCTGTCCAATGATTGCATTTTGCAAACAGAAAATAAAATCAGATTCAGACGACGATTCAGACAATATAGTTGGTTGTGTGTATTTTAGCAACGATAATCGTTTCTTTGTCTTGTCTTTGATGTAGTCGAAAGTTAAAGCAGTGAACACTGGAAAATTGAGCTGCTGCTGCTGCTGAGCCAAAGAAATAACAGCAAATCAACAGTACGAGCATTTTGCTTTAGCGAATAAAATGAAAGACGTTTAACGTCAAATGTCCTATATCTTATTTCATGGGATTTAAGATGTAGACAACAACAAAAAAGGCACAGAGAATGGAAAAAAAAGAGATGGAAGAAGAAGGAGGGAGAAGGGAGAAGAGAGAAAAAATTCTGAAAGAAAACTGCTCAAAGAATATCTTCGGACGGAGTGACTGGTGCAGCACAAACGGACCACAATGAGTAAATTATATGCGAAAATCCGCAAAATAGGATAAAAACATCAGAAATATTTTTTTGTGTATCCTTGCACACGACATAACAAATCAAGGCAATGGCAAACATGAAGTAAATGGGAATGTTAAGAATGTTATGGTCAACCCCTGTGTGACCAGCGTGCTTATACGATCTCTTGCTCGCCCTCTCACTCGTTCTGTATTTTAACTGCCCATACATGAGCATCCATAGATTAGAAAAGAAGACACATAAAAGGAATAACGAAGAAGAACATACACACACACACACGGCTTGTAGAAGTGAATTATGGTTTATGAAGCGTGTACATTCTGCAATCCAACATGCTCTTTATTCGAACACGTTTGCCTTATATGTGGACTGGCAATTGAGCGCTTCGACATGAGCACAACGATATTGGCACGAGAATGAGAAAGAAAAACAGTGCAAACACATACAGGCACGAGGTTGAAAAAAGGAGTAACAGCATCAGTGATTCTGTGCCTTTGAAGAATCTGATTTCGTTCTCAATAATGCATGATCGTGTGAGTGTCTTGTTGTTGTGTCGTTTCGAAAACTGATAAATTTGGAAGTTGCAAAAGTTTGGTCTCGTTGCAAAAGGTAAATGTGATGAGAACGAGAAATCCACTGAACGAAGAGAAATAAAGAAACTCCGCTGCAAAAATACCGAATTCGCGAAGAACATACGCAGCGTCGGTCAAATATATTCAATTTCGGAAATTCATCGATACAGATAGGGAGAGAGAAGGAGAGAAAAAGAGAGACAGAGAGAGAGAGAGAGAGATCGAAGAAATCAAAAATCCATGATACACAAGCCGATTGGAATGGAAGGAATTTGGTAAGGCAAACAAAATACTGAACAAGAAAAATAAATATGAAGGGGTTAGAAGAGATCAAATCGCAAATTGAGACTCTATTCGGCAAAAAGGGAGTGAGGCAGAGACAGAGACGCAAAAAAATCACATGAACGCTTGAATGCAAAACATGAGTATTTCGTTTTCGTATGGATATTTATGATGCCATGTAAAATTGCAATGGGGAGAACATATTGAATATATTATACTTGTACGGCATAGCCACTTACTTGTTTCTTTCGGTTCGCTGATCACATGGGTTAGTTGCTTGGACGTTGACGGTAGGGGAATTTCTGTTGAAGGAAAAAGAACGAAAATTGGTTTGAAGAAAAAAGAAAACATCAGAAAAAAAAAATAATAAGAAGAAGAAGTAAGATTCTCAGGCGGAGAGAGAGAGAGTGTGTGTGGAAAACGCATTAAGCACACATGAAATAAAAAAAGAGAAACATTCACATGCCCATGCATGTACATTTGCGATTTATATTTTAAACATATTTATATTTAAGAGACTATTCAACATGTTCTCTATACATTTTTACATTATGCTTGGAACTTTGCCCATCGAAGAAACGAATGAACGAACGAACGAAGGAATGAATGGCAAAGGGAAGCATACACACTGAAGACAAATAAAAACCAACGGCACATAATGTTATAGACACATACAGCCAGTGCGAATACTATCAATATACTAAATAAACTGCATAAATGTGCGATTGCTGGTACTTCTTGACTGTAAGGCACAATCTCCGCACATACACATCCAGCATACTGCTTGCTCCACTCTCAGTTCCAAGTTTAATTCAAAACACTGATATTTCAAAGTTTACAGCATGTTCACGACGCTTGTTCCCCACAGCTCTTTCATTCGCCAAGCACAAGAAAAAAATAAAGTCAAGCGTGTCCGTTCGCGAGCGAAAAGAAAGAGAAGAGAAAGAATCTACGTGTAATTCGAGGGAAAAAGACAAACGACGAACGAAAGGAGAAAGAGAGAGAGAGAGAGAGAGAGAGAGAGAGAGAGAGAGTGAGTGAAGAAAATCGTAGAGCTTTTACAAACTAATTTTAACGTTTCGAAAAAATTCACGTATTTTGAATGATGGTGATTTTTCCCTAGCGCATACACTCAATACGATACATGCAATGAATGATTAATACGTTGGCCGAAACTCCAATACCAAATGAAATGAATATCCAATTATGTAAAATAAAGGCCAACATTTCATGCATACATACATTGCAAACACACATACTATATCCGTACACTGCACTCATCTCACTCTCTCTATCTCTCTCGGTACAGCGAACCACACTCTGCCACCATTCCACATTTTCTCTCTATCTCTCCCTGTGAATATTTTAGCATTTTTCACTTGGAATATATGCATCAAGTAAATTTGGATAATATTCTGTAGCAGTTTTATTTGATTAGGATGGATGAGTTTATTCTCATAGTGGAAAATCTCCGTGAATATCGCTCCACTGGCAATGGGTTTGATCGAATTTTCAGGGCATACAGCCGAATAAACAACCGAATCAGCTACTTTGTTTGGAAAATTGTTCGTTCCGTTCTGACTTTGACATTCAATAAAAATTGTCGATTGAGCACATTTTCACCCAAATCTTTGCACCGGTTCTGCAAATGTTTAGCCATGAAATAAGCAAAACAACTTTTTGCCTATAAAATAATGGCATTTCATTCAAACACGTTATGTTTGAATGCACAAAGTTATTTTAACTTTTGAAAAACCGCTGGATGAACGAGAAGAAAACGCAGAGTAACAGAAAAAAAACATTCACAATATAACATACACTAAATATTTCGCACACTCATTCTCTCATTTCGTAAAGCAACAAACAGAATATCCAAAAAACTAAATTTGATAGCAAAACGCTCGAAATAGCGGTTCGGTTGTGCATTAAACTGGCATGAAAGTTTAAATTCGATACTTCCGATTAATTAAATTTTAGAGAGCGAGTAGATAACGATATATAGCGCGATCGGTTGGGAGATGGGGTGAGAGTGAAGAGTGGGTGAGAAAAAGCAATAGAACGGGATTTTATGTTTGCCGTTGCAATGATATTCGTCGAACATAGCAAAAGAAAACCATGGATCCGGTACTTCATTAGTGTTTGCAGATGAGATGGCATTGTTGCTATTTTATGCACTGCCTTCAATACAAGGCAACAACTTAAATGCCGCATTGATAGAAAAGTTTAATTGATTTTCATTTCATTCAATAAATAAACTTGTTGTTGAAAACTTTTCTGTCACAAAATTGCACTGTGAACTGTGTTGCTGCTGCTGCTGCTTTTGCTACGGCCAATTCGACAAATGTATATTATAAATCCACTTTCCTTATCAATATAGGGGCAAAAGCACAAAGAGAAAGAAGACCAATCAATGGATGTGAGGGCGAAAGAGAGAGATTGCGAAAAGATTGAGAGAGAGTATCCTTTTCTCGTTCATCTTCATCTGGATAATGGATTTGAATAAGAAAATGAAACTTTCGATTGGACAGAAAAAAAAATCTAATCAGAAATTCAACATCAAAACGGAGCAATTTTAATACAGCGAACATTTTCGATACGTTGATCTAACGACAAACATTTACCTTATCTTCAATCACTGAATATTTTGTTCTAGTTACAAATGGATAAGACCCCGTGCCATTTTATTCCATAGATAGGCTTATTAAAGATTAATAAACTTCGAATTGAATTCAGTTCACCTTAAATGGAATGGCAAATTCGACCGCCTTTTTTCCAATCAATTTGAAATCGACGTATTTCGCCACTTATTTGATTCAATCAAATGAATTAATTCGCAACCGCGATTTACTGAAACATCGAACGCATTTCTTTTCCATTCGCGCACTGTGTCTCTGTCATATACTTAATTCATTGCATGCATCTATCATTTCGATTATTAAATAAAAAGGAAAATCATTGATTTTAGTAATCATGGCAGCTTTTATTTACGTCAAATCAATGTCTGAGGTCTAGACAAAACGCACGGCATTGCATGCATATATACATGTGATGTATAGAATAAGCTCGCGCAAATATTTATTAAATTGAGCGCTTGAAATGCCTTGTTCATTTTCAAAAATTATGGCAGAAATAAAAACGCCCTCACCATATCTACCATCGTTTTTTTGTTGCTCGCATTTGATTATCTGTCTGATATGTATGTTTTGCAGTGAAACAATCAAAAGGAGTGGCAGTCAGCCACAGCAGTTATCCACATTACAACCTATCGTTTTGATTTATTTTCACGCTTGTCGCATGTGACATCGAGCGTCAATAATTTTCATCGTTCATTCATTCACATGGTGCAAAAATTGCGCAAATAACATACAGCACAGAGGAACAGAAAAAAAATGGATAATAGCACTCCAATAAACGGAATAATCCGAAATTTCTTACGTATGTTACATTTCATACATAATCTTTTTCTCTCTCTCGATCTTTTATTCCTTTTTATCCCTCATCGGGCTTTTTTTTTCATCGTCGTCTTCTTCTTCTTTGTACTTTTGCAGGCAAACTGCTCGTAATATGCAATGTGCGCAACGCCTTTATATCAAAATTCATTTGAAATGTGCTCGTTTTTTTTAGCCTTTCTCATTCCATCATCGACATACATATCTTTGCATCAGGCGTGCTTTTTTCTGGCCATAGATGATAAGATGCACAAGAACAACTCGGGTTGTCATCACACTTTTCTTGCTTGTGTTCGCTCGTCATCGTCACATCATTTCGTCTCAATCGAATTCAGTACATTCATTCTTTCTACTTTCTGAACAACGATTCTGCCCGCTGTGAATTGAGTGTAAAGTCTATTTATTTACTTGCATCCATGCTTCATTTGAGCGGTTTCCGTCTTTCACGGAGCTTTACAAACTAATGCTATGCATACACATACACACACACACACACATACATGCGCAATGTTTTTCCACAATCATACTCATCCACGTTGCACTAGTTACAGCGAACAAATTAAAAGAAGAATGTTTGAAACTACCATAAAGAAAAATGATGGCAAAAGAAAGTGCATTTCGATGGATGGGAAAAAAGAAAACGAGATGGTACACACACACACACAAGTAATGAAAAAAAAGATGGCAAAAACGAGAATCTTAGATAATGTAAAAGAACGAACACCGTCGCTGTCGTCGACTACCACGACGACGAAAAATTTGATGAAAAAGTTTTTGAACAAATAATCATCATCTCAAGATATTGAGATGCACATGCATACGGATAGTGAATCGCTTACCATAGACGCGTATTGATCCCTCCGTTTCACCTAAAGAATTTTTCGATATGCATCTGTAGTTGCCAAAGTCCCCATACTGCAAATTCCTTATTGTGAGCTTCATGTGTGCTCTGTTTAAGATACGAATACGGGTTTTTTTTTGTTCCATTTGTCGTCATCGTTGTCGTCGTCATCATCATGGCATATTTCCGATGTACACATGATGGCATCGAGAGAACAAAACCAGAAAAATGAACAGAATGAGGGAAAAAGTGAGCAAAAATTGTTAAAGAAAACGTTATAACGATGATAATAATGCTTGTTTGTTTTTTGTATATATTTGCTTTCACATCAACTTCCTAGCCTCTTCGTCTTGGTTGATTGCGGCACGTTATGGAAAATTCATTTAAAAAATATCATATCGATATTGTGAGCAGCAAACTGCTATGTCTCTCTCTCTCTATGTTTGTAGAGCCGGGAGTTGTTAATAATATGGAATTAGTTGGTGTACGTGTCCATATGAATAGAGTGATAAGTGAAAATCTATCTCAAAATTTATTATCAAGTGATTCCCTTGCATAATGCTTTCCGATGAGTTTCTTCGCAAACTTTGGTGACACACGCCTTATGACAAAAATAATATGAACGCGCTCCGGGTCTGTCTTCCTCTCTGTCGCACACGAGATATGCGTCGAAATGGAATATTCACATCCTCATGAATATTAATATCATTTGTATTTCCCTGCATCCGCCCATGGAATGCCGACGAAAGACGACGAAAGAGAGAGAGAGTGAGAGATGTTGATGCAAGAGCTATTTGCTTTCGATCTGGACATTTGTGCAGTAAACTGCATGGCATCCGATGTCAACAGAACAGGGTTTTTTTTTCTTCTTCACCATTCTTTCCGGGATTCACTGAGGAAACGTATCAAATCATTGAATAACAAAACCATCTCTTTGTTGGCGAAAGAGGAGAAAAATAAAATGAATAGAAATCGAGTTTGTATGTCGTTGGAAATGTCCAAACTGCTAAAACCAGTGGCAACATGTCTTATGTTATTCATTTCTAATTTGGACATGTGAAAAAAAATTCCGAAGAACACCAACGAATCTATTTGATTGCCACTACAAATACAAATACATCTCTTGATATTTGAGTTGAACCAGAGCTGTTTATCGGAAATAAAATCATTCAAGCATTTCGGATACATTTGCGTGCACATAACAAGGTTTAACGCACGCATTACAAGACACCATCAAACAAATTCACAGTAATGCGATACAAATCTGAAGCATATTTGTGGTTTGCCACACTGTGTGCTACTGTGGACCGGTGGCACTGAAACGTGTGCACCGAACGGATTTTCGTCACCTGATTTTTCTATCTTTTTTGCATCGCACAAGCCATACCACTCAAGTCTTGTAAAATCTATTTGAAAGAAGATTTGCATGTGTTTCAACAATAACAATAACAACAACAACAACTATCACCACAGCCGCAGCAATGTAATGTTCATGTGTTCATTTTTGCCAATATCCAGAAACTGTTAGAAGATGTCAATCTGATTTTGCCAAAGTGTTGGAAACATTGCTCCACTGGCGCTGACTGAATATCGTATAGTTGCTTAAATAGGAAATACGTATTTCATGAGAATTTTCCATGGAGTGAGGCAGAGAGAGAATCGGTAGAAATAGCATTGGAAACCAATTTAACAAAAGCAACAACAAAAACACATACACCTTGATGCATTTTCGCAACAAAACGCTCGGATATTTCAATGTGAATTTTGTTAGTGGTTTTTTTTCTCTCTCTCTCTCTCTCTCTCTTTTCTTTGCATTCTGTTTGCATGCGATGCGAACTTCGCATTTATATTCCCCAGTTCACTTTATATCGTTCATCGGTGCAGGTGGAGGATTCTTTTATTTCACGTCTATTTGTTTTGCGAATGTCGAAAACGGTGCGGAGAAAGAAAGAAAGCTAGAGAGAGAAAAAAAAACGTGTGTAAAATACATACACAAATATGTTTGTTTCGAAACCACTTTGTAGACAATAAGGAAATTCGCGAAGAAAATCAGACAGAATAAAAACACCACCATCACAGAGAATGTTTCACCGCAGGAAACGCCATTTCGATGTGAAGGAAGGGAGAGAGAGAGAGGGATGCGAATACGAATGAAGCGTTTGGGAAAAAAATGTGAAGGCATAAATGATATTTATATGCGAGAAAAAAAGAGAAGAAATAGCATTTGTGTTATTCACCTGTAGGAGTTTTCCGTGAAGTCGATCTTGTACTTTTTGCTCGGCAATACCATGACAGAATTATAAACCCAATATATTATTGCTCTGTAAAAAAAGAAAGCGCAATGAAAAAGAGATTTTCTACTGAGATAGATGCTATTTAAATAATACTAGAAAAAAAAACATAAACGGTAAAAATAGCGTTTCACTTGCACAACTCCAAACAAATGAACGACAACACAAAAAAAAAAAAAACGAACAACAAAAAAATGTTTTGTGTGAATAAAACCGAGTGATGATATGCAGTCACAGCTGCTTTATTGCAATCGTAGCCCGTATCAGATGAACGAATCATCGCCATTGCATTGGTCGGCACGGGATAGATGAGCAAGAAAAAATCGAAACCAATTATGATGGAATGCTTGCATTTTATCATTTACAGGACTCGTTCGTTCATTTCCATTCCGGGAATGTATGTGCTCGTCGTCATCGTCGTATATTCTTTTTCAATGCAGATTAAACAATGTAACACTTACAATCTTGAAAGTAGAATCGAGCTATTCCTAAATACTGGATGAATCGGGCGCAGAAATTTTTCTTTATACTCAAATGGATTACAATATTTTCTCCATTGGGCATAAATATAAATAAAAATCCTCACCCAAGCTCATTATGTGCTCAAATTTTCAGTAGAAAAGTGAGGAAAAATATCACACGATCATAAAATCGGGGTAAATACAAAATAAGTTCATCTCCTCGACTCATTTTAGTAAATTTTAACCAATTTTGTCCGTATCATCATATCCAAAAAGGGTTCCCTATATTATTACTATTTTTTCTGCTTTCATACTCTGTTTTGGTGAACGGTGTCTCCCCAGAATGATAAAATCGTTTGCTTTTGTCTTTATGAATATTGAATATCAATAACATTTCACACCGTTCACCAAGTGTGCACATATAACAAAAGCTCGTGCAAATGATTGTGTGACACAACGCTCGATCCAACGATGTATACATAATTTGCAGTCATAACGACAATGTGTGCAACTGGAAATGTTATAGTATTTCATTCAATTTTTTTTTCCGTTGAAGAATAAAGAGAAGTTGAAGAACAAAAAAAAGAGAAGAACAAACGAATGAACCGAGAAGAAAAAAGCATCGTTGGTCGCAACATTTTTTTATACGATAGTTCAGTTCACTCGTTTTCGATTTTGCAAGAAAATTTTGTAGCATATCGACGGATGTGAAATGAGCTGCTCGTTTTGTATGTGTGCACAAGGAATGCGATGCTCACTTGTATGCCATATTGTCGATGACTAAGTATGAGACAATGTGTATCGTTAAATGTAAGTATGGTGAAACGATCGAGGGCCATTCACAGGGTACGCAGGTCGACATAGAAGAATGGAGCGAAACGGGAGAGAGAGAGAGAGAGAGAGAGACGGAAAGAGAAGAAAAAAAATGCGAAACGAAGCGGCAGTAGGAATACAATGTCAAAGAGAAACGAAATTAAAGTATGATTTTGAGGGAAAATGGGAAAAGCACAAGATATCGAAAATATGAAAGTTTTATCATTTTGAAAGTGTGCAAAGATATTGAACCCAAGCAAAATCAGTGCATGTAAGGGTTTTATCGATAGCATAGCATTCGAAATGCATGCATTTAGCAAACGTAGCAACTTCTTTATGCCACTGGGTTTCGTTTTTTTTTGTGTGAGAGAGTGTGTGTGTTGGACATATGCAATTTCGGTCGTTTGTACCCGTATTCGATGAGAAAGAGCGAAATTTGAAAATGTTCGCATACATACACACGTAATGTCGTTTTTTTTTCCTTTTCTCACGCTTATTGGTTCATATAAATTTTCAGTTTGAATTGAGTCGTATTTATTTTTTTCTTCACCATTATTATTACTATTATCATCATCATTACTCCGATTTTGTTTTTTTTTTCGTTTCGTTTCATTTCTTTTTTGGCACTTCTCTTCTGTGTTTGTGTTTTTCTCTCGCATTCACCAGCACTCGATGCATCTATACAGTCAAATTTAGTGCCGAAATGTTGTAGTTAATGTCGCTAACGTAAATGAGTGAATATCTATATCAAAATGTTTATGTTGCAATGCACACAGTCGTTTGTTCATTTTCTTTATTCGAGCTACAAATTGCAAACGATTCAAACGAAATGTGTTGCAACGAAACGAAATCGCACATAACAAATAAATCTATGGAAATGAAAGGAAAGGAGAAAACAAAAACAAATCATAATACAAAAACATACACACTCATGCATACACATTTTGTATTAAACACAGACAACACTCACACAATAATATACGGAGTGAGAAAGAAATGCTGAAAAAAAAATTATATAAAATGGATTTTTAATGTACTTTGGATGTGCTTCTGTATTACAATCAATTGTGACATCAGTTCCAGCTGGTGCGCCAACTAGCTGATTTGGGACGAATATCATTGGTGAAACTGTTCATTCATCGTCCGTTTGGTTCCATTCGGTGTGTTTTTCCATGTGTTTTTGTGTGGAAGTGTGTATGTCGAGATTGTCGATGATTCAGATGATGGGGCGCGTGTTTGTTTCGTGTGTGATTCGTCGTTTGGATTGGGTCGTCATATCGCATGTGTGTTTACATGCGTGTTATAGCATTTTGGGCCATCCGTTGCAACGCGGAAAATACGTGAGAACCCAAACGTTGTTATTACAATTTTTGTTTGAATTTTTGATGTGTATGATTTTTTTGTTTCGTTCATTCGTCGTATGGGTTTTTTTGTCGGCATCCGGCAACGCAATGATGATACAGACATCAAATCAATACATTGTTGAGCATTGCAGAGGGAAGAAAACACGGAGCATCAGCAAAGAAATATGAGAAAGAAGAAAAAGAAGAAAAGGAAAGGAAAAAAAATGACATTAGTAAAGTGGAGAAGAAATAAATTTCGTGCGATTTAAGAAAATATTTCATCTCAATTCAGTAGTACAAGCACACACACAGCGTGCGCATACTGGACGTATTGGGAATGGATGTGTGTGGAACACCGTATGTTTGTTATTCAATCGAAATACATATATCTATAGGAATGTTCATTATTAATGCTTTTTGCTTGGTGCTTTATTTAATCTTTTTGGCTTTGCATCGACGGATGATCGACGGACGGCAGGAACACTCGCTCTGGAGATACCACTCGACTCACAACACTCGGATAAGAACGGAGAGAGAGAGAGAGTGATGTACGCATATATTGTCTGCCTGATGTCGACTGGGACACAAAAGTGATAAAAATGGAGACGAAATTGTAATTTATGTGCACACTTACATTCGACATCCAGTATAATGCGTTTGGAAACGCTAGGAGGCACCCCATTCGTAGCTACAAGAAAAAACGTACATTTTTTTCATTTTTTTTTTCATGAAAATAAACAAATTGACGTAGTTTGGATGCAAACGCCGCTCCATTTTGCTATCTCATTCTTACCGATACCTGAAAAGTGACCAACAAAAAGCGAGAAAGAGAGAAAGAAAAGACGAAAAAATGACCCAATAAGTAATACAGTAATTGTAAGCATTATAGTTGAGATATTACATAGATATGCTCCCATCTCATTGCGGCTGACTTTTGTTAACGGCAACACTTCTCCATCGTACACCGCTGTCGGCATCGTCGTTGTCGTCGTCATCATTTTTGTTTTTGTACGCGTGAATTTGCGAAATCCATAGAGAATAAATGAAACGAGACACAAAGGAAAACATATTGTTTTTAGAAATGAATGGCTTAATCTTTTCTATAATCAATGATCGTTGTAGATGAGTTAAGCGAATGCCGGATGATCTAATATCCGGCCATGATAAATCGTAGCTCTTAACCATACGTAAAGCTACTTAAGCCCGTTTCATTTATATGATTCAATACACAATATTTGTTTGCGGGTCGCTTTTGCATGAATTCTCACTAATGCTGATGCTGATGATGTGAATGAAATATCATGCAACCTCAATTGAACCTAAAAACTCATTACCAAATTGTATAGAATTTCTAAAATTGTTCGCTCGGATTTGATTCTTCTAGCGAAATTTGACAAAAATATTTCGCCCACTAGTTTTGGTGTTGACATTGGTTTGGGGGAAAATCTAATTTCAGAGCTACAGTAGAACCTCGATTATCCGTCCTCCCATTATCCGTCACCTCCGTTAACCGTCATACATTTTCAAGGTGGAAAAGTTTTTGTTCAGTTCATTTTTCAGTTTATTTCACTTGAACATACGAATAAAGTTGCCAACTAACTTTCACAATCAAAATCAATCAAACATGTGTTTTAAGATTGCTGAGCATCTCAGCATTTCGTAAGGCACGGATATATCCGAGCATATCGACGACGCATACAGTGACGTGCGTTGCTACGCGCAGCCGCAACGACTCGACCGAAGTGTGTTCAGTTGATGTGGCTGCACGCAGCAACAACATAAACATTCCGGTCGAGTCGTTGCGGCTGCGCGTAGCAACGCACGTCACTGTATGCGTCGTCGATATACTCGGATATATCCGTGCCTTACGAAATGCTGAGATGCTCAGCAATCTCAAAACACATGTTTGAAATCAATTGTGTGCCGCTTGTACATTCGCACAATAAGATTTGAAATCAGAGGCTTTGCGTTTTCGGTGCACTTCTTTTATATACAAGATTGTCCAATATATTGGACAATGCACCAAATCTGTTCTCATATCTATTATATATTTTCTACATCACTTTGTTTCTCATCAAAAACTAATTAGAAAGTATGGAAGTTTGATTATTTTGCCTTATTTTATGAAAATCTCGATTATCCGTCTTTTTCGATTATCCGTCAAGGCTCTGGTCCGGTGCCTGACGGATAATCGAGGTTCTACTGTATTAGCAAAAGGATAGAAAACTTCTTTTCACCCGTTCTCATTTCTTCTGAGTAATATTGAGTTTGATCTCAATTATAACCATATAGAGAAGTTCTCTGTAAGTGCTGTTCGTAATTCAAAAAATAAATTCTTTTCGAAAACATGTAATTATTCCAATTTGAAAACTGGTTAAGAATCCAGGGTCGAGTCAATTTAATTGTCACAATTAGCACTAAAATGTGCATAACCACAAGTTTACCTTTTATGTAACTGTGTAAACGTATTATGTTCGAAAACACATTCAAAGTCAAACACACACCCATTGCACGCTGAACAATAGAAACCAACTGAGAAACACAACAGAGAGAGTTTAAATTTAATTGAGATTGCAATGTCTTCATTTCAACATTTTTGCGAGTTATTTTCTCTTTTGATGCTATCGCATCATATTGTTTGGTCGGCCACGCTGGCTTTCAATGAGAAATGTAAAAACGCAAAAACCAATGAATATACAACAAAAACCAAACACAATACTAACGTGATGTTTTGCCTTTCTTTTTTCGTTCCACAGTTATTGATTCGCCATCCTCCCTGTTGAGTTTATTGAATAGATTGAGTGTGCGAGAGAGAGAGAGAGAGAGAGAGAGAGAGAGAGAGAGAGAGAGAGAAAGAAAATGAGAATTATATTGTGAATGAGGAAAACACCCGTAGAATGATGAGACAATAAAAGCCACAGCAAAATTAGAAAATATTTGAGCAGAGTCTATATATATAATTTTTTTATTGTTCTGATCTCCATTTGCAAAGCATCACATATTTTCTCCCATTTTTGTAAAAGCGTCGGAATTTATTTCATTTCGTATTCACGATCATTTTTCATCTGACTGTGTTCTCATATTTCAAATCGGAATTTTGTGATTTAATTATGACCGATGGGGCGAGAAAAAAAAATGTGTAGCCGACAAATTATTCGATATATTTTGTGAGTGTGTTGATGCAAAATTCAAACATACCGTCTCCAGATAATTTTTGGGGCTGGAAATCCATCAGCACGGCAGGTCATGTTGATATTCTGATTTTCGCGTACGGCCACCGATGAAGGAGTGCTCTCGATATCCAAAATATTCGGGGGAACTATAAAAGTAATGGCATTTCATTATTTCCGAATGGAATTGTTGAAATGACGATAATAGTATTCTTCCAAATGATCTATATCTCACACGGCATAAAAAGCATTTTTGGTCGAAGCCTAAAAGATAAGGTTTCGATTGGGCGAGAAAAAGAGCCCTCGACACATCGAACAATCTCAAATGGACTGGAAATATGGATGAATATTATATTTGACAAAATCGAAAATCGAATAAAAACTCACCCACTACTTGTAAATATCCCACTTGACTTATCATCGGATTTGTGTTGACCTGCATAAAGTAGCGTATTCAGAAAAAGAAATAGAAATAGAAATGTGGAGAGACACACACATTCAAGCATGGAAACACGGAGAATGATTCAATGCGAGACTGTTACGTCTGACTACTCAAAATAAACATAATATGTAAATCTGCACGTATCCGTGAGCTAAGTGATTTTGGATATCATTTTGCTCAAGCGTTATTAAGCATGATGACCATTTCCCTTGTTGATATATATATATATATATATATACGTATAAGCGTACAAATCTATATGCAAGTGGTAAAAGGGCGTCAAATGCGTTATGGGCACCATTTATTTTCGATTATCGTGCAGACATCGCATCATAACAGATTTACACTACCGATAAAATGTTGTGCTGTTGTGGCCATACGAGTGAACGGGCGGGCGGGTGGTCGGTTGGTCGTATAGGTAACGGACATTTGTTCGCTCACTCGTTCGTTCATTCGCTCGTGTGTCATCTGCACATTAGCACTGTTCAGAAGTAATTTACTAACCTGGCACATATAATATCCTCGATCATCTTGCTGCGCCTGATTGACATGAAGTTGCCATGTGTTTGCGTTGTCATAAGTGATGCTATATCGTGGTATTTTCGAAATCACATGTCGATGAATCGTCAGTATCATTTGACGATCTATGTGTATCCAAGCTACCTATTTACCATATATCATAGTAGCAGGCCACGAGGGAAAGAAACAGAGAAACCGAAATACAGACAATGTTAGATAAAACAAATCAATCAAAACCAGAAACTCAACTCTCCCAGTTGAATCTCATTTCGCGTGCTGAGTGTATGCGTATGTGGATCATTTCACGCATTGTTTCGTTAGTTTAAATCAGGTAAAAAGTTCTACGGTGGGTTGCATTATTTTTATTTTGAACTTTACATTGGCTTTCGAAAAAAAGCTTCTTTCCGCTGTTATTGTTGTTGTCAAACCAAATTCGTTTTAGAAAAATCGACTTCTTTATCGTTTTAATCTTCATACTTATATCACTTGTGATTATGCTTTTATTCTAGCTTCCTACTTTGCATCAAAAAGGAAAGTTTTTCGTTAAACGCTTACAAAACGCCTGGATGCGAATTTATTGTTTATTTGGATATATATATATATCGATATAAGCCAAGAAAAGTGAATGGAAATGGCGGCGCATTGTATATCATTCCATTTTGGATTTATGCGAACGCATCTTGTGGCTATGAGGCCATTATAGTGCGTATTTGTTTGTGTGCATGAATTGCCGGTGTTTAAAATGGGTTCTGAGATTTGTAATGGCTTCGAGAGTGTGAACGGCGATGACGACGACGACGTTGATGCGAATGGAAAGTTGAATGTATCTGCACGTCATATAATTTGCAGTGAATTGCTATGTGAGATTTTCTCCAGATACAATGTTGATGACGACGATGATACCCGATGAGACTAAAACGAGCTTTTCTCTCTCTCTCTCTCTCTCTCTCTCTCTCTCGTTCGCTCGCTCTCATTTTTTTATATCTCAGTTACAAACTGAAAGCGCCATGCTAACTGATGCACATCGTGCGCACGCAAAACACCTCTTCGGTCGATGCTTTGTGGATGGAATCCTTTTAAATCGGGCCATCCACATAATTCCACTCTTGTAAATCCCATTCCATTTTATGCGCTTCTCTCTACATGTATCAATCTAAATACCGATTTCTTTTTTCGGTCGGTTATGATGCCATTTTCAACAGCGATCAAAAAACACAAACACCAATCCAGCAGAGCTCCACCACACCAAAGTGGTGAGTGAAGAATGTGGCGAAAAAAAGTGCCAAATTTAATGTGATGGAACACGAAAGAGAGACAAAACCATCAAATAGAAGGTAAGCTAATACGCGCATACAAAATGGCAGCACCAAACTACATACGATTAGATTAAATAACGAGACGAGTGATGTCTTTAAATTGTGGATTAAATAAAATCGTTTCTATATTTTTTTTTCTTCGAAGCTGTCGTTATCATCCAATCTCATCGCAACATGTGTGATGAACGACGAGATAGCAAAAGTCGATGGATGTGAGATGGAAAATAGCCGTTCGACAACAAGGCAAAATATTGAAGAGGGGGACTAGTGACAGCAAGAGAAAGTGAAAGAGAGAGAGAGAGAGAGAGAGAGAGAGAGAGAGAGAGAGAGAGAGACAGAGAGCATGAAAAGAGCATACAGCACACACCGAGCACTGGCACAGATAGCAAATGAGGGGGAGAAGAAGCTTCAACATCAACATGAACAACAGCAGCAGCGAAAATGCCAAGAGTTTGTTCGACGAAAGAAAAGGAGAAAGGGCCAAATGTCAGGCTTATTTCCATTAGCATCAAGGGCGATACAATCTATGCTGCTGGCATTATCGCGGCTTAATAGTTTTTGCCCTCGCCGTGGTTCATGAGCCAGACCGACAAGAGAAGTCGTTCTCGTTGCTCATCTGCATACGATGCGATTTGACGGTGTCTATCTGGTTAAAATGTGTGAGCGAACGGTTATTTTCCGTGTTTTGTATGGTGGTTACTTGCTTGCTCTCTCTCGCCCTGTCATTCTTCCTCCTGTTTTTGCACACACACAAACACACTGTACACAACAATCAAACGCTCCATGGCAGCTTATATCCACTTTTATGACATACTTTAAAAACACACTTGGTCTTATTTGCGCATTCCATCTCACGTTCTGTTACCTCGCCAAATACCAAATAAGAGCGCGAAGACTCAACAGGAGATTATGGTTTTTATGTGCATGTTATTTTAATTGAGACATAACGACGATGAGTGCCTCACACGAAGGCATTCCATTGGATCGAAAAGAGTGACTGAATAAGAAAGAGAGAGATCACAAGGGCAAGGGAAAAAAGTGCACACTCAAACCTCATATTTGTTTATAACGATGTTATTCTTATGCTGATGGCAAAAGGTAACACACAAGAAAAACTCGCCCATAAACTCGGATGTTTTACTTTGTTGGTTGCACTGCACATACACACACAAGTTGTTTTTTTCCTCTGTTTTTTTGTTTTGTTTTATTTCAACGTTCGCCGTTCATGTTACTTTTGCAGCGGCTTCCTTTGGGTTTTTTATGTGTGTGCGCTTTGCATATTCCACTTATTTTGACTTTTTCTCTCTGAAATGGTAACTTTATTTGACGTCTTCCTTTGATTTGATGTCACCTTTAACAACTTTCGAAGGCAATCGAATTAAATTGTGCGGGCAACAACAATTTTCTGCTGGCACAGATCTTCTGTTCGCACTCAATAATTCGGAATGATCTGCCACAAGTAAAGTTCGAGAAGCTAACTAAAATGTCACGCTTCACAACCGATGGGAAATCAATTGTCCGAACTAGACGATGAAAAACATAAAATAATTTTTTTTTCGACCGAATCATCGGAAAAAAGCGCTCACATTCGCAATGCACAAAAGTTCTACGGCGACAAGTGACGTGTTCTAAATTCAGCGTGTGTATTCTTTCGTTTTCTTTCGTCATTTCATTTTTCTGCTCTTCATCTTCATCCCATTGCTTAAAAACAAAAGATGAATTTTTGCTCCATTGCCGATGCTTTCAACTGTCAAATTTTCATGGCTAATGTAATGCCAACATCGATATGGAAACTTGAGCGTACCGCTTTTGTCTTGCACGTATGTGCTACACTGCACACACAACAGCACTTCATTTTGAAGCACTGAGTCGCATCGGCTCATAAGTAGGCAATTTGAGATCGTCATTTTATTGTACGAACATATTCTCAGTGCTATTAATGACTGCTCCACGCAGAATGCACATTGCTCAAGTATTTTCGATGAAAAATATGATTTGTATTCCCCCACCACCCTTAACCAATCCCACTCATACGCTTACTGGCGCCACTTGCCTCTCTTGCACCGTCGACCATCGTTTTCAGTATGGTATGGAATACTCACATTCACTCTCATGCGGAAACATTTTTTTTGAACGGGAGAGACAGAGAAAGAGACAGAGCGAACGAGCGAGGGGGAGAATTAGAGAGAAAAAATTATCATTCAATGTTTGTCATAATCATAATACATCGTTCGTGGTAAATGTGTTATTCTACAAATATTTTTATTGCTGCCCATACGTCATTCAGTCACTCACACACACGGGTGCGTGCAAAGACATACATATTTCATGCTTGCATAGATACAAAGTCCCCACAAAGTATTAAGATGTAGACAATAACCCCGGCCCGGAATAATATACCTGGAATGGAGCAACTTTAGCTCATCATGGCAACAGAAGAGAGAAAAAAATACACACCAGCAAAACGTAGAATCTCTCATTCGCTCTATCCGCGCGCGATGTGAACGTGGATGTGTGTGTGTGTGTGTGTATATGAGTGTGTATCAGCGTAAATATGTCGGAACACAACGATGCACACGCAACTAAAAAAAAGACAATAACCAACTAAATAAAAATATTCGTGTTCATTGTGTGTTTCAAAATAAATGTAAAGCATTAGAAATATGGCGCAAGAGGGAAGCAGAGCGGGATTTCTTTTGCTTCGTTTATTTTCTTGTCCTCTTTCTGGTTGTTGTGCCAGAATGGGCGAGACCGCGTTACGGGTAAAGATTTTTCATTTTTGTGCCGTATGCAAAAGTGTTCAAGAGTGTCCCGAATGATCTTTTCCAAATGCGTATTCGGATAGATGCGAAAGCATATGTATGATATGCTTCATTTTATGTCTGTTTGCGTTTTCAATGCAGAAAAATAAGGGACTGAACGAACATTGACTATGGGATAAGCTCTTGAGCAGTGGCATCGTGAGTCGCAGCCGAAGCAGCAGCAATGGCATTGGCGGAAAGCAGAATTGTATGTGTAATGATATTTCATTTTTTTTTACGCCTGCATTCAGTTTTTATACATAGCACAAACGCGTCATTCATTTTCCCTATTCAAACAAATAATTTCTTTGTTCGTCCCTCCTTTTTGACAAGTCGTTTTATTTATTTATTTTTCTTTCTTGCGCTTTTTTCTCCTTCTTCTGCTTCTCGTTGTTGTTGATGGTTTAAGTGGCTGAAGAATCCCCGGAGACCAACATATTTAAGCTGTTTTGTATAAAGACATCAAATATTTTGTGTTTATCCTAATAATGTAAGCGAAAAGTATTCATGTGTGTGTTCAGTTTCTCATGCTGGTTTTTCTTCTTCATCTTTATCTTCCTTTTTTTATTTGGCTGTTGTGTGCGATTCGCATGGCGTGAGAAGCACAAGACGCGTACACTATGCATATGCAAATGCTTTAAGTTTCACTTGAAATTCGCAACGAAGTAATGTTGAAAAGTGTTACGTATGCTCATTTCTACATATTGTTTTTCTTTTTTTTTCGTCTCTCCCGCTCGCTGTTTTCCTGATCCTCATTCAACAGAACAAGTTGGGCACAGCAGAAGAGGAAAAAGTGAAGAAGGAGAAAGAAAAAACGCACCCGAATGCGAGTTGCAAACGCTTTTTTTCTCACACACATTCAAACGTATGCATAATTGTGGCGGTTAACCAGCTCTCGTGCACGATACACGCCAAAGAGAAGATTGCAAAAATATTTTAATGAGAGTGAGGAGTGAAAATACGCATAAAATCAAATTACTTGACACGATATGTGCTTCAAGATTATGGTAATAAGGAGGCACTTTTA